GCTACTTGCAAATGCAAGTCTTTTCAGTCTTTGAGTACTTGACCCGATGTATAACTATCAGTGTTATAAACTATGAATATCATAAAAGACAATACTATGTATAACTATCAGTGTTATAAACTCTTTTATCGCTAATAAAACTGACTGTACCATGATAATCATGAATATCATAAATATAATACTATGCATAACTATCAGTGTTGTAAACTGTTTTATCGCTAAGAAATCTGGCTGTACCATGATAATCTTGAATATCATAAAAAATATACTTTGCATAACTATCGGTGTTATAAACTCTTTTATCGCTAATAAAACTGACTGTACTATGATAATCGTGAATATTATAGAAAATGATACTATGTATAACTATCTTATCTATCGCTTATCGCTTATAAAATATGGTTCAAAATATTGAAATATTTGCAAGTAGGTGCCTATAGTTGCAACACAAATCTTTCACTGGTATAGAATTAATTCCAGCTTACTTGGATAAGAATCTTGTCTTTCTCGACACAGTGTCCGGAGTTCCCCAATGTTAAATTCAGTTTTAGCAAGATAGTTCTTATTTTGCCAGTTAACTTTTTCCCAAAGGATTAATCTCTATATTATGAGAAGTAATCGTCTCAAGAAACTGATTATTGTAAATTATTATGGTTAACGCCCACGATTAAGTGATTTTGTCTGCCTAAGACTTTAATCAGCTCATTTGATTACAAAAGAGCTTTCAACTGTGGGAGACGTTTTCATTATTTGAATAGTCAGCATTTAGCCGGCAGAATTAAGTCCACTGGAAGATTTGCAACTATTAATGGACTGAATCATCTTTTCCCGCGTAGGCGACCGAAAGGTTCACTATACAACTTTGATTAACTGTGCCTCTTAATAACAGATATATACGCTTGTCTCAATATGCCTTTAAACGGTCACGGCTATGCTAAAGTAGCCTCCAGGCAGAGAAGAAACTAACGGACGGTGACTCTCGTCCCACCGATTTCTGCTTTACACAGGTTTAATTGTAGAAGCCACTCCAAGACTACAAACAAACCCCTACGACGGAAACCTCTGACTCCTCCCTTAAACAGACGATATCACGTTTGCCACCGCTGTCTGCAAAATCTTAGCTGATGATGTCAGTAAAATTTATTATCATAACTTTTAGTTTAGATCGCAAAAAAATTATAGATATTTGAAATCAGCTAAATTTGCTAACAATTTACTAATATATGGCAACATAGGCGAAGGCTATTTCCCACTTCAATTTGGGCTCTGTTGATAATTTTAAGAAACAAGCAAAATAACTGTAATTGGTTCGAAAACTTCAAATCTTTCATTGGCCATATCTCACCCAATTATCAACATACTTTGCTGATTGTCTATATTTAATTGTATTTCATGGTGTTCTTTTGTGTAATGTGGCAAAAAGTCAAATATTCTAAGATAGATTTTAATGACGTCACAAAAGAGTACCAAAGTGTGACGTCATCAACAATCTATTGCTAGAATTTCTCAATTTTTGACCACATAATCAAAAATAAAGGTACAAATTACGTCTCAAGATACAAAAATAGCTAGATATGTTCAAAATTTGGCGAGATATGGCAAATGAAAATTTTCAGGTTTTCTAACGGATTACTGTTATTCTGGCCTGCTTCATAAAGTTATGAACCAAAACCAAATTGCTTGAGGTTTGATGGGGAAAGAGACTATGCTTATGTGGCCATATCTCAAGCGATTTGCGACACATTTTGCACATTTACAGGTATTTCATAATGCTTTATTTGGATATATTATCAAAATCAAAAAGTTCCAACGTGATCAATTTGGTACTTTGGTATTGAGGTTTCACTGTAGAAGCAACTTCAAGCTCTTTTTCCTGTCAAAAAGCTTCTTTTCTTCTTCAGTAGGCAAGGACTTCTGCTCACGCTTTTTCAAAGAGAATAACATTAGCTGTAACATTAGCTCTTAGTGAAGATATACTTGCCCAAACATACGGAACAAAAATATTGGTAATATACTTATCCACACAAAGATACAAACAACAACTGACACCTTTGGAACAACACTTTTCCACCACCCAAAATGCCGCACATGCTCTTATGTTGTTCACACTACAACCACGATTACCAACCACCACAGCTTCCTCCACATAAAGACAAATTTCACATGCACAAATTTCCCACCTTATTTACTGCATCAGTTGCAACCAAATGCGACCTTCACTACACTTTTCCACCACCCAAAATGCCGCACATGCTCTTATGTTGTTCACACTACAACCACGATTACCAACCACCACAGCTTCTTCCACATAAAGACAAATTTCACATGCACAAATTTCCCACCTTATTTACTGCATCAGTTGCAACCAAATGCGACCTTCACTACATGGGGGAGACGTCCCGTCAGATAAATACCCGTTTTGTTGAGCAAATCTGCAATGTAGAGAAGAAAGTACACTTTCAAGAATCAAGAAAAGAGGACCCAGATGCCACAGTCTCAATTCATTTCAACAAAGATGGCCACACACCAACCAACATGAAAATCATTTGACTTGGCTACGCACCTCATAACAACACTAAACGCAAAACCCTCGAAAAACGTATTATTTTTAATCTTGGTATTTTTATTCCTAATATTCTAAATAAACAATTTTCGTTTCTTTCCTAATCCATACGCTTTCCACCCCCTTTCATATTTCCATCTCATCTTACGTTCTACGCCATATTCCTACTACGTTCCATATATCTTTCTTTCGACTCTACCGTTCTATTCTCTTCTTAACCGTTTCTCCTTCTATTCTTTTTTACCTGATGAAGAGTTATGCTCGAAACATCGTATCAAATATTCATTTCTTGTACAAAGTCGTTATTATATTATACCAAATTAAATTCTATGTTGGCATATTTATTCAAGTCTTAAAAGAAATCTTTTTCAAATGCTCAAATCTTTCAGTTTATATCTCTCTTTTATTCTTTGACAATAGGTTTATACAACAAATGCAGAACGCATCTAAAATAATTTTAAACTTAGCTGCATCGGAAATTCTCATTGTATTCTGTTCTGATATAAATTAGAGATTTTAAACAAAATTTTAATAGTCTTATGTCTAAATTCGACTCAGTCATCTCATTATGCGTCATGCTAACAGTGACCACTTTGAGTTTAGCTGTTTGCATAAAACTAAATCACACGAAGGCAGTCTCCTTCAAATTGCTAATTGTATTAATCCATTTTCACCTTTGAAAGCAATACTTTTGATTCATGAAATCTACGTTTAGCCATCTACAATTGCATCAAAAATGTAATTAATTTATGTAACCTTTCTACTAACTATATTGTCTTTATTGTTTTGTCTGATATGCCTTTGTTGTGTTTCTATTAGAAATTACTTTTTGTGTCTCTTTTCGGCTATGTAATTTGCCTAACGCTTTGTTCAAATGGCCAAATGTTTGAATTAAGCACAATCTGTGATTTGGTCCTGCAGTTTAATCCTACTGTATATTGCATGGGTCTAATTTAAAATTTATGTTGTTATAGTCACTTTAAAAACCTAAATTGTAGAGAATAATCTTTTTTGACTTCCTCATTTTCTGGCTTGTTGCATCCGGGAAAACTGCTTTATCAATTTCAATTTACTTTTAAATCATCGAAACTTGTCACATTATAGCAGGTAACATATTGCCATTATCTTATACTGAATTTGTTAACAATGTCACCCAACAATTTTGTGATAAAACTAAAGTTGTTGACATGATGTTTCTACAAAGTATTTATTACTCAATATTGTCAAATACCAGGACAATTGAGTATATTGTTTCCTTTATCTTGGTATCAAAATTAAACATTCAATTAAACGTACTGGGAGAAACTCATTTAATGAAAGATATGTTTTTGGCTTCCATGATATTAGTGTAAACTATCACTATTATTCTTGAGAAAATAGGGAGTGGAAGCAGTCGCGTTTTCAACAAGAAATAAAAGACTATCATGATGATTGAAATAATTATAAAGCAAGTAATTTCTGCAGGAATTGAAGCCTCCTAATTAGAGCTCTAGTTATACACTTTCCGATATTTTTATAGATGATAGTTATGAATAATTTATAAAATATTCATTTCATCAATTTAAATATATCATCACAGACGACATATCTACGTTGACTTTCTGTTTCCAGTAGATTGTTATGCCTAAAAATCTTGTTTTTACACAATAGCTTGAAATTTTTTATCCTTAACCTAACGTTCTCTTACTTAAACTTTTTGAGGTTCTTGTAGATGTTATCATGAAGTTCACGAACTTTACTTAAATATGTCATTGGATGCACACAAATTTTTGAATCATAACTTTTATGTAGGCGGCTACGGTGCTTTTAGAGCATGACCTATCATATTTATAGCAAAATAGAAATCATTAGAAACAAAAAAGACTTCGAAAGAATTGAAAAAGATAGACTTGCAGAAATCTGTATTTTGATAGAAGATTTCGTTAGCTAGCGGAGGCATACAGTGGTATGCTTATAAATGTAAGCTCTAGAGAAAAGTAGCTTTATGTTTACACTTTAGCTGCAAAAGATCCTGACAGTAGATCTTGAATAATTAAAAACGGATAGTTAAAAGGGATAGGAGAATCATATTCATCACTTTATATTTTTATATATCATTTTCAATACTAGCTGTCCTGCTGTCTTGAAAATACACTCGAAAATATACTTGAAAATATACATATAACTAGCAACGGAGAAGAAAGCTTTCAATTTAACTCAAGCGATTTTCCTTCATCGTCTTTCCTTAATTAATCATGATTGGGTAATTTTAATTTAATGTAAATTAAAAATTTCTCAAAGTGCCGAAAGAGAGCTTAGATACAAAGGAATTATAATTCGAAGCAAATTTTGTTGAATAATCATCCTGCTTTACGAGAGAAATTAAATGATAAGCTTTTGTTGTATTTAAACATCAGTTTATTGCATGATTTTCTATTTCCTTTATACTTTGTTTTAGCATAGGAAAATGAGTTCACATTACTGAAAAGTTTCTACACACTGCATCTCGAGCATCGGGTAAGCACAAGCCTTGTTCCTTATTACAATAAAAATCATAAAATTTCTTGTTAGAATTGATCGTGTTTAGATGGATGCTATATTCTTGGACATGGTCCTGTTATGTCCAACCCCTTACTTAACAAATACTCGATAGCATGTATATACTTTTTTCTATAAGAACTAGTAACTTGAAGTTTAGGCTGGCGGTTCTTAATTTTTCTTCATAGTCTTAGGCCGGGTTGTTCTTAGTTTGGTCCTGAATTCTTAAGGTGTAAGCAGTGCTCAAGTCCATAATTATTGCGCTCAAGGAGAATTTTATTTGTCAAGAAAGCGAGTGAGTCATCTTTTATTTGCCAACAGTGTTGAAAATTCACCAACAAGCACCTTCAGGTGGAAAAAAGCTCCTCGTGTTCCAGATAAAATTTTAAAGATGTTTTACAACCTTGTCCAAAGGTAAATTTTCTACTTCAATGGCTTCAGCTTATTCTTAAATTTTCTTAAAAATGATAAATTTTGAGACTCGTGTTCTTAAAATATTGTTCTTATAAAAATGATTGTAGATCAGCATCTAACCCCATCCCTTTCCTCCAACATTCAAAGTTGGTGCATATATACGTCAATAGCAAATAATAACAATATTGAACAAAGGAGTTGGTCGTGAAATCCTCAACCATCAGCCCTTGATCGAAATAAAATTTGACAAAGATTATCGACACGGGATATGATGAGAGATCATATATGATATATTAAAACGGATTCTGACCATTGCGTTTACGACTGATGAGCTTCAGTTATGAGAAAAGTTTACGAAGATAAAAATTACCTTTAAACAACAAGTTGAAGACATAAAAGCAGCAAAAAGTGTGATTATGTTGCCCAGTTACAGTGGCGGATCTGAACTACCGCTATTACCGCTCGAGCGGTAGTCAGATTATTAAAGAAATTATAAAAACAAGGATCATTTTTATGTTTACCCTCGAGACATGCCTGAAGTTGTCATAGAGACATAGATGCTTTTGAGGCCATGGCGTGCCGAGTCAGATGCTTGCAAATAAAAAGCTAGCTAGCATGGGGGGATGATGAAATCGTGGCTTGCATGCTAGGGGGGTTGAGTCGGTGTAGAGCAGATTCGAGCTGAACTGAGCGGTAGTCAGCCTGCCTAGACCAATCAAATCATCAGAAATCACAGGCAACCTGGGGGGATGCATGCGACAATGAACAACTGAGTTGACTACTGCTCAGATGGGGTTTGAATAGCACTGCCGCTCAACACGGCTTAAACGTTACAGAAAGATGGGGGCATATTCTGCAAGTTGGCAAACTATAACTACAAAGCCGTTGTGACCCATTATTTAGTACATTACACAAATATTAATAGGAATATATTTTACACGAATATTAGGTAGCTGAAATTCAAGAAGGCATCAGGATTAAAAGTCAAACGCACAAAGTTCGCCAAAGTATGATTCTTTGTTTGAAAGAAGTTGCTCTCAAAGGTTTCAAATTTTATATGGCTTTTTAAATTTACAATATTTTCTCAAGTAATTGCACGACTTAACGCGAGTTTTAGGCGACATTTCAAAATTCTGCCAAAGATATCGCTTTGTTTTCTTATTCTATGTTGTTGCTTAGCCTTAATGTCGTAATTTTTTTAGAATATCCAGCCTCAGAATAACTACAACGATAATTTGTTGCGTCTCAAGGATACTTAAAGATTCACAAAAGCGCCGCTTGTGTCTTGAAAATGGTCTACATAAGAAATTATAGAAAACAATAATCATTTTAGAAAACAGGGTGTGACCATGAAATGGGCGTGGTCTAAAGGGTCTGGTCGACCTTCTATCTCATTTCGGCGGTAGTCAGATTTTTTGCTGGATCCGCCACTGAGTTAACTGCACAAACACATTGGGTTAGTGAATGCAGCGGAGTGACACAAATTTTGTTTGTATGCTAATTTGTCACGGAATAGATAAAAGGATACTTTCAGATATACACTTGCTGAGCCTTTCATAAGTCTAAGGTAAAGATATGTATCTGCACTGTTGGACAGCAAATGGTATTTGGGGTTGGGATAAGAACTTGTTTACTGTTTCATACAGCAATGAATTCAAGTACAAGGAGAAAATGTATGCGATCAATTACCTTTAATGATTAACTCTAACGTTCTTGCGCCATCGAACAGCTTCACTTTTGCGATTTTATCTTCATTCATCTATCATACTGCTGCTGAAACTTTAGGCATGAAGCAGTATCGATAAGCATTAAATGTTACGAGTTTAGTTCGTACTATTTCCTAACCCGGTATTGTCCTCTGTCTGCGCCGATCGTTTCCAGTGTCATTCTTTGTTGATGAATTACGTCACGAGAATACATCAATACGAGCGTCACTGGGCCTTTTTACATGCAAACTATACTCAACTTGAAAATATTCTTAAAACTTTTATCGTGTCTGTCTCTGCATCGCAATAAATAATTCAGAATAATTCAGAAAAATGTCCGTCATTTACCTGCTAGAATCAAAAACGCCTTTGTTGCAAAACTAATTGTATGTCACATTCTCAAGGTCAGTTCAGGTCGTTATCAAGCTTTATAGCGTTTTGACACAAACTTACCGCATCCTTGTTCAATACTATATTTTATCCTTGTCAAATAACCCATCGTCCAGACAAATCTCACGAATTTACCCGCTTGCGCGCCGTTTACTAGACTACCAGATACACGCTCGTGACAGGTTGAAAGGACCTCTTGAAATTTTGCCTCCTCAACACCTCGACATCTTCTGCTTCGTCGAAGCGAGGTCAAAGATTGATTTTCCTTTGTTTCAGCAACCAAAAGTTAATTATATTTTGTGAAATGCGTAGTTATTGATAGAGAATTTGGAGCGATTTTAACTCAATCGATTAATTCTCTGGAGAATGTATGGTTGTGATAGAATTTCTCTCATAATCATCATCATCATCATCATCATCATCACCATCATCATCATCATCATCAATCAATTAAATTAACTAAAATACAATTTAATACTTAAATAAGCTCTTTACATCTAAATGACGAATTAGCTTTTTATGGAAATGATGATTCTCATCAGAATCATCACTTTAACATCTTGGAGTTATTTGCCCAGCGTACGCAAAAAATATCTCTATTGGCCGTAGGTCTTTCGTCATATCGTCGGAAACTTACATGTAGTTTCATGTTCTATAGAAACCTATTCTACGATGAAGAAACAAATCATATTTCGATCTGCTACTTGTAACTGTTCCCAGTCAAAAGTCTCAAATGCATATCTCTTTAAGTACGAGGCCTTACAAAATAACCAATGCTAATGCTAGAATCACTTTCACTAATCTTCATTTGAGACAATCTCTGCTTTTATGAATAACAGGAGCGAATTTCATACCTAGTTTGAAAACCGATGCTATTACTTAAAAGCAGTGTTTCGGAGAACCACACATGAAATAACAACAGCCAAATTCTTTTTTGAAAATTCAAAAAGATCCAGTCGAAACGCTGTAGCTTAACAGATGCAAATTTACAAGGGGAATGTCACTCCACGAGAATCTCGTAGACCCTTGGCTAAAATTCTTTTGTTTTCGAGAAAGATCCGCCTAAATCCCTCAAAAATCATATTGCTCTAATAAATTTTGTGCACGGTTTGGGAAGAGTGATGCAGCCCTTGCAATTTTATATTCGCATCCGGATAATTTTTTTGCTGACCTCTTTGTCATGTCCTAAATTTCTTGCTGGAAAGACGAGTCTAGATCCCCATTGTTTATGGCTATTTTCATTTTTCTCATTTGTCCTAACCAATGAGAAAAATGCATCACAAACACATGCACGTTGGGGCTTTTTTGGAATCTTTTACATCTCATGGCACTTCACAGCGATCAATTAAATTTTCTAGATATCATCGTTGCATCATAAAAAACGTTGAGTTTCGTTGTAACTATTCTTATGACACCTTTCATCCAAATTTCCTTCTAGTTCTCTGTTGCTTATTCCCATAAGAGACACGAATGTTATTTCCACACAAAAGTTATGCGATGCCACTTTTTGCAAGCGGTTCTCAAAATAACATCATCAGGTATAATATGTACCCGTGCATTGTATGCATATTTCTGGAAGCCAACGGCCCTTCAAATTCATGCCGTTTTTGTGGTCATAACTTTTTCATACAGTTGGGAGTATCATATGATAAGTGCAAAAGTGCTGTGTCCTATGGTTTCGCTTTTAACTATTTTTATAATCTTGCTACTTTCCATTTTGCAGAACTATCGGCATATTCTAAAGCACTTTTTCATATACAATTTTTGAACATTTATTCGACTTCAGCAGAAATTGATGGAAACATATGGCTATGTTTTTAGATCGTTGTTTTTTTATGGATTTGCTATGATGCTGCATTTGGAAAACTCCACAACAACATACCCTGTTTGGTTGAAAATAACAGCACATTGTGAAGGAGACTTTGTCTAATTTTAGGCTCTTAGTATGAGCTGAAATTTGAACTTAGGCATCGCATGAGCGATGAGCTGAAATTTGAAAGTAGCATTCAGCTCTCATCTTTGTAAGATCACAGGGCAACACCAACAGATCATTGACTGAACATCCACTATCAGTTGTAAGTCTTCTGTAATTTGCTGTTCATTGATACAAAACGCTTTTACGAAATAATTGACATTAAGCTAAAATACGTATCATGAATATGTATAATTAAGCATAAAGTCTTGCCCTGTTTTTATTAAGCTACTGTCTTTATCAAGCATCGATTATCGATTATCAAGCATCGATTATCGGAAAAATCTTTGCAACTGGCTGGCCTTTATTTAGAACATTTTTAAAGCTCTTTTTTCTAGACAGTAAGATTTACGTATTGGGATTTTTTGCATCAAATGTCAAAAATGATTGTTCAAACAAAACTGAGTAGGAATGATATGTTCCTTATAGGCTGATTTGGATCTTAAATTTGCAATCATCTAGTGGTCACTTTTTGCTGTGTCGTGAAAAATTAGCCTTGCGTATAGGAAAAAAATACATATCAGTCGTCGTTCTGGAGTTTTAACAATTCGAAGTAATGGTTTACGCTTCAATAGTTTACTGATCACTTACCTTCTTAACAAACATTCATACTGACTGCAAGCAGCAATGTACTCTTGAATTAAGTAAATAATCTAGCCTGTCTTGTTTTATATAACTTGCCTTTTGTTTGTATCTCTTGATCCCTGGATTAAGGCTTTCCTTAAGTGATAATCATGAAAATGTTTGGCCTCGGTTTTCGTACGGATTAGGCAATTGCTATATTAGGAACATACCTATGTATGCCGCTTAAACGTGTTTATGTTGTGACAGTAGATTTGAAGTGACTTCTTACGCTGTTTTAATTTTTCGCTATTAAGCTGTTAGCTTACGGTATCAAAATTACATAGCTAATGCTGCAGAAAGCCGTGTTTTTTATCCTTAATTTGAGAGGGTTGAGTTAACATTAAAAAACAGATTTCCCAACTTCAAGGTGTTGATCGTATGCAGAAACACGTTCACCTTTTATCAAGTCTCTGGGAAGTGCATGGTCTCTCGGGTTTTAACTGTTTAAAGGCGCTCTGTCTCAAAATTGAGCCAATCGTGTTAGCAACAATTTCTTCAGTGTATCACAAGAATATCACAAGAAAAAGCATATTACCTCTTTCTTGTTCCCATAGTAAATCAACATTGCTACTGGGGTAGAGGGGGGTGGCTTAATTTGCCTTGGAAAACGGACGGTTGTGTTCCAAGGCTTTTAGCAGTGACTGAAGAAGTCGGCCAGAAGAAATTATGCTCTGAATGCCTCGAAAAAACAAACGAATGGCTAAACCATGGCCGGATAGGCTATTGTTTCTTTCTTCTCACTTGGAATTTTTAGAGAGATGAATGAGTCATCTTCCTCATTTCGTGGTCTATGCTGTTAATTTGTTTACCTTTGATTCCTCTCTCGACATTAGATAAGACAAGTGTTAACTGGAATATGTAAAAAAGCCCTATTGTAGAATTCAGCTAATAAAAAGACAGGCCATCTTCGAGAATCCATCGGAACATAGTGACTTCAAAATGTGTAAATTTTATTGCCTTTTAAGTAATCATTCGAAGAAAATAAACCTACATGCAGTCTGATACAATAAATTGCAAGCGCATGCGATGTTCTATGGAGAAAAGTGAACTAAGGTAGGTTTGTACTGCCATAATCAGGTCAGCATTGCAGATAGCTTACCTTTGTCGAGTTCTTCTTTAACCGCAGCTGATACTTGCTATTTTTGTACACTGTACAACTGAAATGCATATTTTGTTGCAACACAAGACTGCCCGCGTATGTCTGCCCTTAAATAAGTGCGACCAGAAAAGACTTCTGTTGATCAGATCATGCAGACTTGACTATGTTACTTTTATATCTAAAGAATCTTTCGATCCTCAGCTCGTTTATGTTGAAATGAGACAAAATTTATACCCGTAATTTTTCTTTTAAAACATGATTCTTTGGAACAGCAGTTTTAATGACATGAATTTTAATTGGATTATAAAAAAGCTATGTAAGGATTTCTGTATTATTTGTTAATTAATTAAATATGTTTTTAATTTAAAGAGATTAAATACATCATAAATCTCTTATTTGACATGTTATTGATCAATGGCTTAAGTGAAGTAGAATGAAAATTAAAGCTAGAGAAGAGTCTTGAGAAACACCATATAAAGAAGGATACGATGAGCTACAGTCAATGCCAAAAGTCAATGCCTGTGCCAAAATTAATTGGAACACCCAACACTTTGCGCTGTGCTTTTCAATTTTTCATTTGTTTGCCCGAATACAACTAATTCCGTTCCCCTATTCGGTTTGCCTTTGAAAACTGACGTTAGTGTTCCAAGACTTTTGGCAGTGATTGTATATAGCGTCTTTGAACCTCAGGCTACAACAGAAAATCTATTTGGGGTAGGATTATATCTTAAATAGTAAACGCGTGTTTCGCAAAACCCTACATTGCTTTGTTATGTCAAATATGCGGATTCTAACTGACTGAAAAGGAAGAAGCCTCTCTTGATCAAACAAAGTCAAATTCTAGTCAAAATCTAGTCTAGTTCTAGTTTGAATTATGATACAAATAACACTGTAATCTGTTCAATGTTTATAAGACAACAGAACATATTAGAATTCAAGTCATTTTATCGATTTTATTTATTCAACGGTTATTATGATGTAAAAGTGGGAAAACAATCTTGCTTTCCGGTACCCTTGGTATTATTTTTTAATTTTTGCGGCTCTGGTACCCAGGGTAGTATTCCGGACGATGATTATTCGCGCTATTCTGTTTGAAGATTAGATATATCGTACAAAGCAACTTGATGAATTGTAAAGTCCTAAGCACTGCCGAATCCTGTTGAGACATCAACATTGTCAGCAAAAACGGTAGCAGCAAGCGTTTCATTAAAGGTAATGTGTCCATATAAAAGGACTGCGTATACCCAACTTGTCAAGCCACCCATCAAAATAACGGCTTGCGATTGGTTAGTATTCTTGCAATGCAAAACTGCTCACATGAAAAGCTAACCTCGCAGCAGGATAGATAAAAAGAACGACCGTAATGGCTGAGGCGATGACATGAAAAATCACATGTTTCTAAAAACCCCCGCAGTGTCGCTTGCTTTAGCTGGACACATTACCTTTAAAGTTGATTTAGAGAAAAAGTATTTTGATCAGCAGGCTGTTTAGTTTATCATTTGCAATGTTTTCCTCCAAACGATTTATCTACGAGAGCCGAACCTTGACATTTATCGGAGTTATGAAAACATTTCGTAATCATTTTTCGCAACTAGACATACATAATACTGTAATTCTTTATATCTCATTACGCGTCATGTTTTCCTCGAAAAGACTTGTTGACTTTGAATGGAGTTATTAAAACTTTTTCTAGTCATTTTCCTCAACTAAACATACATCCAACTGTAATTCCGTATATCTCATTACGTAAATGTAAACCTTGACAGATCTCTATTCATCTATCTTGTATTTTGCTTGATAATTAATCCTAGTGCCGGATAATTCAGTCCGTTGTTTTCTATCATTGTTCACGTATGCTTTGGATTGCCGTTAGATTTTTCCACATACTATTTCAGACTCTCAACAAGTGAATATTTTGAAACGAATTTGTTAAAACATTACTCATATCATGGATGAATGTTTCTGCAAATGATGCTACTTGAATATTATCTGCATGCCTTAAGATCATCTGCATTAAACAATCATCTAATTGTAACATACTTTTATGTTTAAACGTTACCAGATTGACATGCTATATCGAGAGCTGTGTTTTTCGCTTTAATATCATGTATCGCATATTCTTTTCAACGCCTTTTGATTCCATCGCCTTCAGCCTGAATATTTTCAAATTTCTTAGCATAATTTCTAACTTCCACCTGGTGAAATGCATGATAAGCCACCAAATTATTCTTATTCTACTACATTCCCGTCCATCTAGGTAATACCAGGCCTAAAGTAGCATGCTTGCCGTTTCTCTAACGAGGGCTGTTGGCTCTGTCTAGTTCTTCACTGCAGTGTTTATTACCAAAGCAACAATTAACCAAGAATGCCTACCCAGATATCTAGGCAGCTCAGGGTATACAGAGCATAATTCGCCACGCTTCGCTTCTTCCATTCGCATAAGGGATTCTTATGTAATGACCCGTGAATACGATAACTGATTCATACCCGTTGAAAAATCAAGCCATTCTTACAATACAATTTGTTACTTAGAACTGGAAAATTCAATGTTAAGTTTTCTTAAACTAAATCGGAATTGATAATGTACTGAAATCGTGAAATCATGAAGATATTTGGCATATTTTTGGTCACGTTGACCATCCTCTTTTACGTAGCTGGTGAGTTTCGTAATCTACTTTTGTGTGCGTGGCCTTTTCTGTTTGTTTAGCTTTACCTGTACCGAGTTCATATTTTCAAAGTAGAGTCGAGATTCAATCACCTAGGCAAAGACTTTGCTTCTTAAGGACTTCAAATTTTCGTTCTCAGGAATCTCATTTCTATGTATCTACTTTCTATATATCTCTATTTGTATTTTTTGTGCAATCTACTCAATTCTAAGTAGGCGTCAACCCATGTTGTAGGCCTAATTCTGTCTCAATCAGCTCGTGTTAAAAACTTCATGTAGCTATCTTTAACAGAGTTATAAAACACTCCAGCAGTTAGGTCTGTTATTAACTTCAAGTCCCGATGTACCATTTTAAGAACAGATTGCTGGATGCAACTTGATCTAATTTTCAAGCTCTCATCATTTTTGCCAATTTCAAAATTCTACCTTTTTTATTGCTGAGTAGTAACCATTTTGTGGATAGTTTTTGAGGCTTTGTACATTGTGGTATAAAAGACACGGAAGCTTTCTTTACGGCAACAAGACAAGATGTAGTTTTGTAGAAACAGTTAACTTGTATTGACAGCCAGAAACGGTACAAAACAATGTTAATGTGATCGAAAACCGAATCTGTGAAAAAATAGAAGCTATGTTGTTGATTGCAGCTGAATCTTTCTCGTATGTTGCTAGTCTCTTTAGTGTTGTAAACGATGCATGAATAATTGTGATGCAACATCTCGACGTTAGAAGGAGATATTCACTTTCGTTAAGTGACTACTGGTCAATTTGTGGTTGGAGTCGTTAATGTGTCATGGTATGTTTATCAATTAAATGTTCTTTATACGGCATGGGGAAGACCGATTGTATATCACGTTACTACATTTGACACGAATGAATGACATGTACAGAGACGATGGGACCAAAGACACAAAACGAGAAACTGAGACAACTATATACTGCAGAGACAAGCTGCTTTTCAGTGACTTGAGGCAGAAAGCTGATCTAGACCTTTCTCTGTCATATTTCATCAGATTGCCGACATTTGGTTTCAAGGCCAAAAGATCATCATGCTTCTTTACATGAACGAGGAAGCAAGAAAGAGTACCTAAATCTAGCCCCACTATCCGATGATACCATGAATGCTGGCTTCGACAGCCTACCAAACAATGATATTGCTGCCTTACAGAGTGACGTCAGCGATTTTAATCAAATCCAAAGGGATGAATACTATGATCTAACTAATGGTATTCCGGACACCCTGCGACAGGCGGCAGCACAGGTTGTCGAAAATAACCCTCAGGCAGGTTTAGACTACAGAGACACAGGGATGCAAAGCTTCAAAGATAGTTCAGAAAGTAGGCGGCCTCAAGAAATTAGAGAAAAGAATGAAGAGGATGAAGCTGGAAAACAAGGGGAGAAAATTCGAAGTGAGTCTGATGGCCAAAACGAGGTTAAAACCGATAACAAAAAAGAGGGTTCAAGTAAGGAAAGTGAAAACAGGAAAGACGAGAGCCAAAAATCTCAGGGGAAAGAGGAAAATGAACATAATATACTGAAGAATAATGAGGAGAAAATTAATGATAATCAAACGTTTGAAAAGGAAACAGGAAAACCAGCGAATGATCATAAAGAAAAAGAAGATAATCAGAGATTTGAAAGTGGAAGAGAAAAACAGGAATCAAAGAGTAACGAAGAGAAAACTGTTGGCAAGGGCAAGGATGATAAAGAAAGTGAAAAGGAATTTGAAAAAAGCAAAGATAAAATGCAAAAAGGATTTTCCAGTAATGAGAAAGACGAAAAAAGCTCTCCGAAGTTTGAAGATAAGAACTCAGAATCAAAAGGAAAATCTAACGATGATAAAGGAAGGGAATCAGCAAATTCGAAAGAAAGCGAAGAACAACAGAAGAATTTTGATGGAAATAAAAGTACCGATAAAGAAAGACAGGGTGAGAATAAAAATGATCATGATGAGGGAAAACTGAAAGAAGTAAGTAACGGAAAAAACGAAAATAAGGAAAGTAAGGGATCTAATGAGTTCAAGGATAGTAGTAAATCTAATGAAGCAAGGCAAGAAGAGCAAAGAAAAGCTGAGGATAAGAATGAAAATCAATCTAACAAAAACAAAGAAAAATACGATAATGGCATTAAAGAATTAAGCAACAATGAAGATAGACTTAAAAATGCGCGTGAAAAAGGTGAAAAGGAACAGGAAGACAGCAATCAAGAGAAAGATTTTGGAATAAAACAGAAGGAAAGGAAAGAATCTTTAGTTAATGAAGACCAAAAAACGAAGGAAAATGGAAAGAAAGAGCAAGGTGATGTGAAACCGGAAAAAGTTGCTGAAAAATTCGAGAAGCAGCAAAGTGAAGATCGGTTTCAGGGAAGTAAAAATGAAGAAAAAGAAAGTGGAAGAAAGGGAGACCAATCAAAAGAAGGACAAGTAAGTAAGGAGACGACAAAAGATAACCAAAATAAAGACGAGAAGAATAAGGAAAAAAGTCAGAAGAATGAAGAAAATAAATCATTCTCTGAAAATCGGAAAGATAATAAAGCTTTGAATAAGGAAGAAGCAGATTTGAATGATAGTGCCAACAGAGATTCTGAGACAGAGAATCAAGGTCCTGCATCAAATTACCATGGCAAGAGTGAAAATGCAGAGAAACAGAAGGCTTTTGACGGGAAAGACAGTCCAAAGCAGGATGGTGAAAAGGGAGAAAACAAAGACAATGGGAATAGGGAAAAATCTCGCGAAGAAAAGGAAGAGAAATTCGGGGCACTGAACGAAAGCGGAAAGAAAGAAAAAGATACGAAGGAAGAAAAAGAAAGAGAGGACAATGACAAGGAGAGGCATGGTCAAAAAGAGAACCAAAAGCAGGTACAACAGGCCGAAAATTTGTTAGGGCACGAGCAGAAAAAAATTAAAAATAATGAGAAAAATTCAAATAATAAAGGTGAAAATAATATGAAAAGTTCTGAAGGAAAAAATGATCAAAAGGAAGAAAAAGACGAGAGGAAACTTTCAAAGAATGAAAACGAAGGAAAGGAGGAAAAAGCAATGCTTTCGGACGAGCAAATTGAAAAGAATGCGAAAGTCGTTGTAAACCAATTGAAACAGCTTCAGAAAATTGCGCAATCTTCAGACCCAGATCCCTCAAAGATAGATGTTGGTAAGCTGCATCCTGGTACGGTTAAGTTCCTTAAGAAACTTGGTGAGCAGCATGATTCTAGACAGAAATCTAAAAATGTAGGCATGCATGCCAGCGGTAGCACAGAGGGTGAATCTCAAGGTAGGGCTTAGTTGCTGAATTTTGTCTATAGTCTCACGAGTCCAGATTGTATTTAGTTAGTGATATCTAGCTTTCCTGTGCTTCTATGATCTACTTTTGTTACACTACAACTGTGTTCGCAGTTACACTGTTCTATCACCCTGGGTGCCAGAGTCTCCATTATTTAGTCTCAAAAATATCATTCGAAACTAGTCATAGAAATATTTTTAGAGCGAGTATAGGAATTACAATACTTTATCCCCGGATTGATGAGACTCTGGTGCCCTAAATGCTGTTCTATATGTCTGGTTCGTTAGTAGATCGAATACATTGCATGTTTGTTGGCAATGAATGTGTATTTTCTAACCATCTAATTGTATTATACAATTATACATCATTGTGCAATAGCAATTCTTATGTATAAGCATACCCTGTATTGTTGTCCCTGTATTAGAATAATTAGCAGGACTCAATATTCTCCTTTTCTCCAGCACATTGTCAAGTTACCTTCAATGTACCACAAAAGTCCAGAAAAGTGTCCATCACAAAACAATTTGAACTTTCCTAAAAGAAATGAAAAGGCATTCTCTTGGTATTTTTATTGTAATTCTTTCATAAAACTTCCGCGTTTTCTGTGCTCTATGCTTAGACGTATTGGTTTGAATATATCCACAGCTTCAATAACTACGTCAGTTAAAAAACAATGTATTTATATGGCTTTTATGTCGTTGAATAAGATAGAGTGCTTAAAACATCTTAGCATCCTGTGGTAACAGATATTTCCATATAAATCTGATATTTCCAAGTATATGGATAATTTTTTTTCATTGCTCTTTACCTTGTAAATTTGTGTGTTTGATTTTTAGAGTCTAGAGTAGCCCAATACAGAAAGGGCGAGGGCTATGAAACACAGGATGTCAGAGAATCTTCGAAATCGGAGAGCAACGTGAAGGAAAACCGGAACGTGAAGAAGCCTTGCTCAAGAAGATGCAACGGATGTGGCTGTAGGTTCAATTCCAAATATTCTTCGTTCTTGTCGAAAAATGAGAAACTGTAGACTGATCATCATTTTTGTGTTTTTTGGGTTATTTAATGAGGCTTTCAATGGTAAAAATCACCTAAAACTGCCCATTAAAAGAAAAATGTCATAATCAATGTAATGGGGGTTTTGACAGCTTTTTAACAGGCCATTCAAGTCGCACCTTATGTTTATATCATCATCAGGTACCATCTTCTATCAGAAGATTGGCTACCATGACCCTCCAACTATCCCAAAATCTGAGTTTTGGTTTGTTGTCATGGTCATAGATAAAACTTTATTTTTATCTATATTTGTATACTCGCGACAATTTCACTCCCTAAGATATTTTCGCACAATATCTTTGTACCCCATAAAATTTTCTTGATCCTTATTCTCAAATCAAGCAACGCTTATTCCCATTTTCTTTCTCTTTTACTTTTCAGCTGCTGATTGCATGGATATGGACATGGACATGTCTTCACTATGCGGAGGAATGTCTGGTATACTTGTTTTCTTGAAATAATTCACTTTTTCTAATTTTCTTGTTGTCACTTTTTCCAGCATGAATCAAAATTAGAATAAGGGATTATTAGATTTATTGGCATGTTAAAAATATTCAAGCTCTCTTACATTTTGATTAATAGTTCTGCACTTTCATGCTTTTTTATTTGCTAGATACTCAAATCTGATTTTTATTTTATTAGGTCCCCCATGTGCAGCTGCTGCACCACCACCCCCACCTCCCCCACCACCACCACCACCACCCACCTCCTCCTCCACCACCGCCACCACACCACCTCCTCCTCCACCACCGCCACCACCGCCACCACCACCACCACCACCGCCGCCTCAGATGGCAGTTTCAACACTTTGCGTTCCACGTAAGAATCCTTTACTCTACTCTTCATTTTAAAAAATATATGTTAAGCCAGTGCAATTAAGTGACTGATTATTCAATTTTAAAGCAAACAATATATACAATTTTAGAGACTGATTAGCTTAATAACAGCATTTTGACCTAGCATTAGCAAGAATTGAGGTATCAATTTGTTTGAATTGCATTTCAGTATATTTTACATCCATATAAATAAATCCAGGAAAGGCTGTTGCCGGAACAAGACGATTTTTATGTTGTTCTTATACATTTATGCAATAATTTTATGTTTGGTTATAAGTAGCGATTGTAAAAATATGACAAGTGGTATCAAGGCAATGTGAACGACATTATTTCGTCATAAGCCTGTAAAATACTAAATGTAATCTAAGATTTTTTAAACTTCACAAGCCTGCGTAATAAGCCTGAATGAAATCTAAGTTTTCAAAATCTCACTTCAGTGCCAAGTGGTGACTGTGGCCCATCGGCACCGCCGCCACCACCACCGCCACCGCCACCGCCGGCGTCATCAGCAGGCTGCTCTGGTGCAAGTGCACCTTGTGCGAAACCAGCTGCTGCCGATTGTGCAGGTGAGTTTAGCGTATTTCTTTTAAAATCAGAGATGGAGCAAAGATTACTTTCTTTTTACTCAAGAAGGAAGTTTGATTCATTGAAAGTTAAGAGTCAGCTTTTTCAACTTTTATTACTGACGATTCAAAAAGCCGTTTCTTAAAACAAAGCTAAATATTTTTGATAAGCAATGTAAAGTACATTTATTGATACGCCCGCGTACTTTCTTCGCCTTCTTGCAAAACCAGCTGTCTGCATATACATCAGCTGCTGTAGGGAACTTTTTTGAAATGAAAAAATCATGGAAATGAAATGCTAGAATTTAAGTCATGGCTCCATTATGATAATGTTTGGTTTTAAATTTCCTTTAAAATCTCAACTATACGACCAGAGTAGCGCTTTTTGACACTACTCCTGTTGCTTAAAAGACCACATTTGATTGGAAATATTTTTCAAACAAATATACATATTGATCAAGAATTTTAGCTTTTAACTTGTAAAAGAGGAATGAGTTTTATAAGCGGATGAATTTTAGTGGCTGTGTATCAAATCATCCCCCACTCTTATGAACACCCCTCTCCTCCCTCTATGGAGCTGACTAACATGAGTTGGTGGGCTTAATTCCATGATCTCTGTTTTACCATAATTTCCATACTCCCACACAGAGACTTACTACGCTCTTTCAGCATGGATTTAAAGAGATTTGATGCCATGTTGATTATGATGTCATTCTCGCTTCCTTTCCCAAACAACATCTCACGATCGTACGAATGACACGCTGTAGAAGATTAAAGAGCTCTGTTGTGGTTTGTTTAGACTTTGGGTCCCTAGCCAAATGCACTACTAGACAAATAATATTATCTATCTAGTGCTTCCAGACATTTAAAGCAAGCTTAATCTAATCGAAAAGATATGATAAGAACATCAGATAGAATACGATAGAAATATCTGTATTAGTTGATACTAGTTGTTTCAAGAGATTGTACTTGATATAGTATAATTCCATTAAAATCGAGAGGGTATCGAAAATGAAGTTTGGTTGTGTTGTCAAAGTTAGATTTGCTAGTATTTTGGTGATATTGGTTCTATTATTGTTGGATGAGCTTTAATTACGTATCAGTTTCACCCGGGATCTAGATACTAAACACAATTCTGCATTAAAAAATGGTCCGTATTGTTCCAGCAACGTCAGTTATGTCCAATTGACCATTTACCAAACACTATATCAGCTATTGAACCTGATGCTTTTATTACTACTTGAATATGATATGTTTCTATCTAGTGCATTCTTCTAAAATGTTAATAAAAATATCCATATTTTGTTACTTTTCCAATTCGCTCATCCAATAATCTACTGTCGACCCATGTCAAATATGTCCTTTCTTCTCTACAATAATTATGTATTACCTGTTATTGATGTCGGTACAGTCAAGTCACTAGAGTGATTATTTGTGATATCATATAATAGCATATACAATTAAAACACAACTGTAATTGTAAAATAACAACTGAAGTTAAAAATTAGCTTCAGAAACCAAAACAATTTTGTGTCAAAAATTTGATGCCTTCCAACTGAATGGCCAATAATATCTGAAAAGTTTGGAAAAAGCATGCTTTGTGTGTTTAAAACTTTGCACTGCAACTTAAAGCAGGTCGTTCTCAGTTCTTTCCAAATAATAACAGTTTTTTTGCTCGCTACAACTGCGAATTATTGGCACCAACAGCGATCTACCTGTTATGACTGTGAGTTATCTCTTAAAACAGTGAATTACTGATTACTTTGAGGACATAGTATAGATACAGTCATGAACTAACTGTTGCAAGAGAAAATTTCAGAAAGAATCTGCAAGTCACTTGCAGTTAAAAGCAGAAGAGTCCTGCTTTGCATTTGAAACGTTTATGAGTTTTAGAAAAAATAGTGGGGTGGTGGGTCTCGTGAACAAAATATCATCTTTTGATGGTGAAATTACGATTAAAATCGATAGTTCTATCTTTTTTTGACAAATCAGAAATACTATATTCCTTCGCAGACTCTCGATGGTTTTCCACTTTTAAATTTCTGTAATAAGAGTTGATACTCTTGGAGAGACACCGTGACGTCAGCGGTTAAATACTGAATGATTTCGAGGCATACACGAAGCAGCGAGGAATATTGAAAGAGCAAAGAAGCTCCCTACCTTTATTTTGTTAATTAACATGCAGGACATTTATGATTATATGCGTCTTCTTAAAGGAAAAAAGAGGTTCCTTATAAACCTACATGCAGGATATCTTTTTTTATATACATCACTTCAACAGAAAGAAAGATTTCCTGAATGCCTCGTTTCCAGTATTAAACAACTTAAATGCCTCGTTTCCAGTATTAAAGAACCTACATGCCTCGTTTCCAGTATTAAACAACCTACATGCCTCGTTTCCAGTATTAAACACTACATGCCTCATTTCCAGTATTAAATGCCTCGTTTCCAGTATTAAACAACCTACATGCCTCGTTTCCAGTATTAAACAACCTATATACTTATACACATTCGATGCAAGAAACAAATTATTGTCTTGATTTTGGGATTTGTCTTTCAGATGATGATGATGAAGGCTGTGCACCAGCTCCCGTTCGCCCACCACCACCACCATCTCCACCATTGAAATTCAAAATGATCCCACTATGCTCAGGTTTGTAATTTTCATACCTTTATAATGAAAGATTCAATTCAATTCATTTCATAAAGTTCATACGAAGACCAAACTGCAACGAGGTCTTTGTGGTTGTGGTAGTGTTTATAGCAAAGGTCTCCAACATACGGCCTGCGGGCCATACGATGACATTTTCTGTGTCCAATGCCGTTGCTAATTCAATCAAGTTTTTATAATTAAGTCCATGAGCTATTATTATGGTGTGCCATTCCCGTAAAAATGCATTCTGTTCGTTAGGCATGTTCATTTGAATTTGCAATTAGACATTTTCTCTCATGGCGCTGAACAAGTCAAAGCTATCGGTGAAAAAAATTTTCTGCAACCAACCAATATAGCATTTCACATTGGTACTTTTTCATATACTTGTTTGTGTAACTTTTCATATTATTTTTAATGCTAGATACAAAATTTATCGATAATTTGCACTGGCCCGCTTGGGCAGTAAAGTTTTGTCTGTAGGCCACCTCAAAGAATAAGTTACTCCTGGATACTCCTGGCTTATAGGGTCTATGTTGAAGAGTGCTGAATAGTGAGGCACATTAGCGACTTGTATGGGATAATTAATCACGAGGAGAGAATATTTTCTGAAAAGTTTGAACCGAGCAATTTATCCACAACCACTTGTCTCCAGCCTACATCTTGACTCCATTGTACCTTGAGCTACACTCATCTCTAATTTTCAAATCGTCCTAGCTTTTCTTGAAATTCCCGTCCCGCTTCTTCTAGGTAAAATACATCTTGAACTTGCTAAACGTTATTTTAACCTTGCTTGGTTTTGTTATTTTCACTTTTGCGTAAGGCCACGTAGATATGTCTCGATCTAAACATAATAGCTTGCACTTGGACTTTTTTATATCCCCTTCAATTGTATGTCATATCCTTTCAGTTGCGCCTTGCAAGCCAAAACCACCACCACCACCGCCACCACCGCCGCCGCCGCCAAAATCTGGAGGTGCTGGTTGCAATGGTAAACTATAAATATTTTCTATCAATATTCAACTATTTACCTGAAATTATTCTCTCCACAAAATATTATCTGAAAAATCTCCACATATACATTTACTTTCTTTAAATGAAGGTGCCTAAATAAAGCATTTCTTTTAGTGTTTGTCTGTTCTTAAGGGTATGTCGTTCACACAATGGAAGACTTACCTTTTTGGTATCTTGTATTGTTTATCATAATATTGTTGTCAAAATTTTCCCGTGTTCATTGGAATACAGAGAAGTGAAAAGGCTTAGCATATCTTGATTTGGGATATCCTAGCGTATATTGTTCTACCCTCTATTATCGAAAATATTTTTCAATATTGGTATGATCCTAAATATTCCATTTAAAGCACTCTTGCATTTTCTGATAGGTGTTGAAATAAGTTGCTATTGATTTCACTCAGCTGTACTAAACAGACGCTTAAATTGGTCAGGGGCGTCTAGAAGTTAACGGATGTTCGATAGAGGGTCATAAATCCATATAAGTTGAACACTTGCAATGATATTTTTTGATTGGTTACTGTTGCTGTCTTTAACAGAAATAAATTCGATCCTTTTTCACAACAGGAGGCGGAGGAGGCGGAGGCTGTAAGGGGATGAAGATAAGCATCACATGCGATCCAGGTAAGGCTTCTTGGCCACATTCCACGGACATTGATTCTTAGAAATCACTTTTGGAAATATACAATTTAGAAAGGGCTAAAAACAAGAAAGATAAACTAAGAAATCTTTTTCTGAAAATAATGTAGATATACTTGGTCGCAGCTCTTGGGTTATGAGTTAGTTGTAGAGACGAAAAGGATTTCGTCCAAGTTATGTTCTGATGTAAGCGTCGACTTCAAAAAGACTTGGAATGATACTGTTTTTCTGTGTAATGGCATCAATTAATTCCACGGGTCTTAAATTGCAAAATATTTTACTTTATTCTTTTGTGTCAGGTAGGGAGGTCGGAACATTTGGGAACAAAAATTTGACAAAAGTGATTCCTTTGAAATTTTCTCGCTGTTGAACTTTTTGAAATGTTTTCCTATTTTGAGACAAAGTTCCTCTCTCTACCTGAGCTCTTCTAACTTTGAAAAAGGGTTACGACGTTCCTGCCATCAGGGAACTATAACGAACCACTAGAACGATTGAAATAGACCATAGTGCAGGGAACAATTCTAATTAAAAATTCTATTTTTGTATTTACCCAGTTATGCTTTTATAGGCTTTGATGCAAATGGCTGAAACATTCTCGAGGTTTACTTTCTTGTTTGCCTTTATCATTTTGATAGCTAATCACTTTTACTATATATTTCTATGCATTTCAAAGCGTTAAACAATAAAATTACACCCTTAAAGGTGATGAAAGTTGCGGTGGAGGCGGAAGCAAGCCACCACCTCCGCCAGCTCCTCCACCACCTCCCCCGCCACCACCACCACCACCACCGCCACCACCACCACCGCCGCCACCACCACCGCCGCCACCTCCTCCTTGTGATGGTTAGTCAGCATTCTGTTTATTACAGTTGCTTTGGCTTTGAATTATGTGTAATTCAACATCAATTTTATCCAAGTTAACGAAAGAAATTATGTGGCTTGTCATTTTAATAAACATAGGCATTTTTTTTACAAAAATATGTGTCGATTGGATATCTATGATGGAACCTTGCATGTTCTGCCATTTATAATAGATTCAAGATTTATCTGCGGAAATTTTTGACTAAGCTATCTTGTAAGGCTGTTACTAAACTAAGTGAAGATACATTGAAATTTTACTCTAAATTCAGAAATATCAATTTCAATGTACTTGTGAACTGTACCATTGAATTAAATATTTTTCTTGATTGGTAAATACTGTAAGAAAAAGGAAACTCTTATAGATGCTATTTCATAAACAACATCGAACTTTAAACAAACCCTTATTTATATATAATATATATATCTATATGCAAAATTGTATTATACAACCATTAGATTATTACTATTAATAAAATTATACAACACGGATTGGATAAACCATCGTGTATACAACATTTTGCTTAAATAGTAAGAATGATTAAATACATCAAGTTCCTGTCAATAATTTTAAGGATTGCTACATCTCATTGGAAGTTTTTCATTGATGCGTTAAAAGTCATATTCCAGTCTTTTGTTATGTTTATGATTTCATTTCATTTCATTTCAGCTGGATCGGTCTCTTGCGTTCCTTGTGCAGTTTCAGGTGGGATTTTTACGACATTTCTTTCTGTTTGAGTCTATCATGATTTTAATCTCATCATGGTTTTTCTTTTGCTAATTCTGTAATTCTTCCTTTCCAGGAGGCGCACCTTGTGCACCGCCAGCCGCCGCAGCACCACCACCACCACCGCCGCCACCACCACCAGCACCGGCAGCCGCACCATGCCCACCAGGTAAACCTTCATCTGTCGTCACATTTTTTTTTAAACATGCAGAAAAATGACATCGGTCTAAGCTTCGCAATTATATACCTCGAAGCATAACTAAGTAATTATTGAGTTCTTGTTAATTTTCACGTTGCTAAATAATGATACAGGTGCTAAGAAAATTGCACATTTTGATGCACTTCGTTTGTGTTTAGCAGAAATATGATGATTGTGAATCTAGGACGAGCAACATTTTGGGCGTTTGAATCAGAAACAGATACAAAATGCGTATGAAAAAATATATGCCTTGCTAAATGGTGATTTTGTGGAGCAAAGAAATTTGTGGCTACCTTCTTGGGATAAACGTTTGAGAAATCCCAAATTAACTGAGTTTGACCTAATCTTTGTATGCAAGCTACTGATTTTTCCATTAAAGTCATTTAAATGGTTCAAAGCTGAAAAGGTCTTTATTTCAGGCATTTGCAACTGCTAAAGTATGACAAATAACGTCTTTTTACCTGCAAATTCGATAATATTTTTTACGACATCGCTAGCTTTTAAATCCTTGCCTGTTTGCATGATCCAATGAAACTCGCTATGAAATTTGGTAATTAGCAATAGGATAGAATAACGCAGAACGACGAGAAGCTATACATAGAATTTGCTAGCTCTGCCTTTCTTTAAGCCCGAGTTTCTTGAAATATTATTTGCAGATACATAAAACTTTTGTGTAAATAGAGACCGCATTATCTGTGCCTTTATTTGATTAAGCATTTTGCAAATGATAACGTGTAACCATTGGCAACAATATTTTTTTTCTAAAACCATTCCTTATAATAACATCTTATATAACAAAATGTAACCCTTAAGAATTTATCAACTGTTTTCAATATATTTCATACGTTGAACTTCATTTTGTAGCAGGTGGAGATGATGGGGGCTGTTTCATAGCTGCCCCCAAAGAGAAACCAAAATATAAATTAATACCCGTTGCAGACTGCGGAGGTGATAACCATTAACAAACTAATTCTTTTAGCTCCTAAAGTATTCTGCTTAATTTTTTAACGCTGATTGAAATATAAATGAATCAAATAAAAATCTGTATTAGTAGCACTTTTCCCCAAGGGAACCAGTTCGGCATACCTTATTTAGCGTTTTGTTTTTCCAAGGGAACTTCTTAATCATTTATGAAGAAGCTCCTTCTTCTAATGAAAACAGGGATAACTTTAAAAGATTAAGAAAGCATTGCTCAGGGAATGATATTCAGACTTAATTTATCTGCTTTTCTCCTCTTGTGTTACATAATTTATGCCACCAACGATGATACTATCTGATTCTAGCTATTCCTGGCTACAAGGCCGAGGGGTAAATTACATTTTGGAAATCTCGTACACCTTTGGTGAAAATCTTGTTATTGTATTAGAAAAACCGTAAAAAACCTGTTTGTTTTGGTAGGTTTTTTGTGAGCTATCTCGTGAGTTATTTCCAAGTGTGAATTACCCCCTGCTCAGGGCAGCATAAAATGGTATCAGTACTAGAAACTGTCTTACAAAATTGCTTATCTGGCCTAAAATTCCGAGAACATTTCTAATTGGAACAAAAAGTGACCATGGGAATTCTTTCAGTAGAAATTCTCACAATCCATTTAATGAACAAACATACCGATTATTGGTACAATCAAACCTTGTCACAAATTGTCTGATACTTGTCACTCCCAGCACTTTGTAGAGCAGAAGTTAAATTTATTTTGGCTAAATGATCAGCTAAAAACGATATTATTAAGCTATAATGCCGACTTGAAGTTTCATTTGGATTATATAATTTACTGTGGAAAATAAGTATAAAGGCTACATGTTATAGTCCGTATATTACATTTCTTATTGAATGAGCAATATAGATAGCGTTCTAGGCTTTTGTGCCATTTATTCAGGATGTGCTTAGAATGTTTCTGATAGCAGAAAATCAAACAGAGAGTTGCTGTTCTGGCTTCAATATCACTTTCAACATTAGGCTTAAACAAAGTAATCTTGAAAATTAAACTAAGTTATCAAAAACTTCTTGATGCTCGAAACTTTGGCTAGGTGTATTTCATTTTCTTAGGGGTTGATAACTTTAAAAAAGAGTAGATAATAATCCCCTACACTTTTTGTTTTAAAAATTTCTTTGCCTTTTTATCGCTTAAGTCTCCAACTTTAACTGGATTAATCGTATTTTTCTACTGTATTTTAATCAATTTTTATAGTGCCTATTTTCTTTAGAAACACTAAATTTGTGTTATATCTATTATCGATAACTAGAATTCATTTCAGGTGATATTTTCAAGTCTAACAGCTGGTCAAACTCGGGAGTGAATTTTCTAACACTGACTAGCATAATGCAAACCACAGTCTAATCAAATTCGATGAATTTGATTCCATTATATATATTCATAAATTGTTTTTGAAAACATTAGTTTGTCGAGCTTTATCATTGCATACGTATATAATAGTATTAAATACAGTCTACAGTGACTAATCTTACCTTTGTTCAAGTTAATCAAATCTCCCACTAATTTTAACTATTATTAAGCATGTTAGGAACTTGTGAATAGCTTAGTATGATAGATATTTTGTAAAAGTTGTGACATTTAATTGTAATTTCTCTTTAGAAGCTGCGGGGTCCTCAGGAGGTGCTGATTGTGGTAAAGCACAAGGTGGAGGAGCAGCAGCAGCAGCAGGTCCTGAACCGAGCATTCCTCTAAGCTGTTTGGAAGCATTAAAAAGTAAGCTTATCTAGAAATGCCTTAATGTGCAATGATCTATGAATAAAGTACTATTCGTCTCATTTGTCTATCTTATCAAAGATAGAAAGAGATTTATTGTCTGATAAGTTTTTGGTGGTACAAAAGTAATAATGGCTTTGAAACATACAAGGGCTTCTCTTCTTACACTCTGAGTATAAAAAGTAAGGACATCGATCAAAAACTCTAATATATATTCACAGTTGTGGATTGATTCGCGCAAATCTTAAATTTAGAGCATGACTGTAGAGGTTGCCCATCAGTGCCGCTTGCCTATTGAAAACCAATTCTATTTCAAATTTATTCTCCATATTTCCAGACAGCAAACTCCTTCCAAAAATCTGTTAGTGTTAGAATCTCTTGCCTTGTACTAGATAGCAAGCATTATACTTTGAATGAATTTCCATTGAACGATATTGTCTCTATCAATTTTCTCTAACGTACCAAGCCACCACTGATCTCACATTTATGGGTTTAGCCGGGCGGTCAAACCTTTTATCCAGGTGATACTTGATAATAAGGAGAAACAAATGTTTATGCTTATGATAGGTATAAACTCCTACAAATATAGAACAATATTCTTCTCATTTTTGATCATCAATCAATTAAAGGTTGGTACTAGAGATGCTAGCATCATTTGCTAAAAAATTAATTTCAAAGCATTTCCATCAACAACATAGACAAACGACGAACATTTGTCTTCCATGCACTTAAAAAATATATAATTTCTTAGAAACCTAGACAGAATTATCTGTTAACATTATCAAAAGAAATTGCCAAATATTTTGATTTGAAAGTGCAATACAGGTTTAATACCTTCCAAATCAGACTGTAAAATCTTATCGCTTTAATTAAGCTAATTTGCGACGTTGTAAAATTCCATATTATTTGTCTGCATTTAATAATTTTTTCCACGCAGCGTTAAAATTGAGTGGCGCAGCTGCTGGCAAGGATGAAGAGGATGGAGAAGGTTCGCCTGCGCAGAGTCCCAAATGTGCGAAAATGCTGAGTCAGTTGCTAAGCAACCAAGCCGAAAGCACTGCAAGCACAATGAAGGTGCTGTCTTCCTTATTACAAGATGACGGATGCTCTCTCAGCTCTGGGGAGCAGCAAGTTGCTGCAAAGATGATGGGAAAGCTTATGCAAGGTGCTTTCTTTTTATCAATTTAGGAGTTGTCATTTAAAATAAGAAAATGAGAAGCATGATTTCGGCTTCGTTTTATGCTCTTCTTCAATTAATGGACTTAATCTATGGACTTTTTATCCAGTTTTTAAATCCCATGTTTTTCCTTAACATCAGAAGTTAATCTTCAAAACAGTTTTACTTAATATGCTGATGATTTGTTTTGATCTTTTCGTATAAATAACTTAATATTTGAAATTTGACCATTAATATGAATTGGGATTACATTGGTTGCCCAGAATGCTTCATCTTTATCAAAGTCAGTTTTTTATTACACAAAACAGGGCTTTAAGATTTTAGAATATGAGAAGAAGGCGGCCAGAAACGAAGCTTTCTTAAACTGCATAGAATTTCGATGAAAGTAAAATTTGCATCACTCTTTGATGCATTCACTATAACTTGAGTAGAAATCAATCAAGTCGTTAATCAAATGATTTCATTGGTTAATGGGTAGATGCAGGCTTTAAGTACCATGCAGGCTTGATATAGCCCAGTAGAATTGAAGGCCTTCAAATATTTACGAGGGCAGAATCAGAAAAGGTTGGTGCAAATCATCGGATAGGTATACATTAGGTTCCCGCTTAAAAGAAACTCATGTCAGGCTGTGTAGTTTCATATATGCTAGAAAATTTTATAGATGAGGCTAACTGATTTCTTAGATATCCATTTAGAAACTTTTATTTGTTTGTTGATTTCTTATCAAAAAATCATCTTTGAATTCAAGGATCATGCTTCATAGTAAATATATGAATTTTGGATGCAATAATGCATAAATTCGAAATTTGATTTTATTATTTTTATTATTTTAATAGCCAATTGGAAGAAACATAGTACTCTGTTTCTTATAAAGGGGCAAATGTTCGGTATGCTGGCAGGCTGCAGTTTCTTCTATGTCCATTTCTTTTAAGCAGGGACTTGCTGTATTGATTAGCTATTCGGTAGCAGTTTGATATAATTTTTGAAGCTATTTTCAGGTGGCTGCTGCAATGCCTTTTCCGGAGGCGGTGGAGGAGGAGCCAAGTCGCAATCGAGCTCACTAGAGGATGATGGCGAACGAGAACCTGAAGCTGCCAACCACAAATATGAAAAATACATCACGCTTGGCCCAGACCACTGCTCAAGGTATGATCTTTGTATAAAGGCTCACTTAAAGTTATTCTTTACTGAGAACTTTGTTGACTTTATTCATGTTTAGGTAAGAAAACAAGAATAAATTTGGCGCTTGCTGAAAATCTTTATAACAATAAAGGAGGATGTAAATGGCGAATAACCAGAAATCAGTTACCATGAAGTTAGTTTTCTCTTTTTGGACTAAAAAATAATGAAATATATATCAAATTTTCTCTGTCTTCTTTCGTAGCAAACGGAAGCATGCAAGAAGAAAGAAGCCAAAGTTTGCATCTGAGCTTGACTCAAGAATCCATGACGAAGATGACTCGATTTCAAGAGAAAATGTTCTGAAACGAGACGGCAGCTACGCCTCAAAAAAACAGGCAATGAAAAAGGGCTTAGAATTCATTCATAAGCATTTGAAAAGAAAGTCGTTATTGGAGAAACCAAGCAAAAGGCAGAAAAAGGAGAGTTTGTCATCTGATGCAGGTAAGAAATGAGCTTTAAGTATTGTTATCTGCTTGTAAAGGGTTTTGCCTGAAGAGTATCGTAATGATAAGAACGAATGGAAATAAATTGTGGTAAAAACTTCTGGTTTTTCAATTCATTTAAAAGAATACATCAGCATATTTGCCTATTAATATCTAATGATTTTCTTTATCTAAAGTTTGGAAATTGGATAAGGCAACATTACGATACTTCTTAAGGTTTTAAAACTTACAATACCTTAATACAACTCAAAGATCTCAAATAATTTTAGTTTCTTTGCACAAATTTGAACCGCGAAATTTTACAATCTGGTTAGCTGGTGTTGTTTCAGTGCGATTTCTTTCCTTTGAATTTTTGCGTCACAAATTTTGTCACTGCGTACAAAAAATCAAGTTTTCATTCTACAAAATCTGACAAAATGAGAAAATGAAATGATCTCACTCGCGCAGACATCCAAACGGAGTGCGTACGGGAATTTTTTGCGTAAAAAGAGAATAACGCAAGGTTGCGTGCTAGCTCCATTGATACTGATTTGCTACACTGTGCCGAAACTACACTGGCGAATCCACATTAAACTGCTAGACGTATTGCTTCTACAAAATGTCTCAGAAGTCAGGGAGGTATGCTTCAACAGACATGACTCGAGAAATATGACATCAATCCAGCTAACAATCATTCTATTGCTACTATAACAACACTTAACCTTGACAACTTACCAACTGAGTAACGACAACATCTAGCAACAGGATGAATCCATTGGTACTAAAACACTTCATCACAACACCAATACAGTGGCTCAAGACAGTCATTGACTGCATCTTCGACACTTACACCTTTTAATCACATAACGACACATCTCTGGCGCATCGTCACATTTCTCCATACACTAATACATTATTAGACGGACGTCAGCCACTTTGCGACATCCGACAACAAACCTTCACGCATAACAACCTAGATGTAGAAGATACTAACATAAAGACTGACTTCATGTAAGTCCTTAACTGTAACGATTACAATTCATTTCTAGTCTACCTCTTACCTCTACTTATGCAAATATATAGAAATGTAATGCTTTGCTGTATAGAAAAGGACGGTTCAAAGTTGCAACTTCGAGTTTTACGCTAAATGTAATCATTAGGCCAATGTTTTTACTATGAGTGAATATTTGCCCAATTATCCCATTTAGCGTAATACTCAGTTAGAATCATCCTATTCTACACATCAACCGTTTACAGCTTTGCCTATGTGGCATCGAGCATTATATGATAGACCGGTATTTAGTAATTTTCATTTTATATGAAAAGTATATCTAACATAAGATATGACAATTTTAGCTTTATATGTCGATAAAATAGATCATTGAAAAACAGGCCTAATCTTTTCTCTTCAATCCCTGACTATATCGCTTTTGGCGTTAATAGACAGGTAACCAAGAAATGCAATTGGCACTATGATTTTGTAGATCGAGATGTAAACAAACTTTTGAATGATCAACCCTCAGGGATGCACACAAAACCATTTCTATGCTGGAATCCAAATATCGAAGCTTTTTTTTGATTGACTAGAAATGCTAGAATGTTTTAGGTATTTAGTAAGTAACAAGGTTTACTTCTTTTCTTAGGTGCAAAAAGTTTCAAAAGATCAACGGAAGGTAAGAAGCGTGGGCACCGTCATCATCATCATCATCACCACCACCACCACCATCATCATAAGCATCATCATCGACACAAGTAAAAAGGTAAAATACCATTTTACTTGTTTTTTAAATCACTCTAAATCTTTAAGGCTCGAGATAAACCCCTGAGAAACTATGCAAACCAAATCAGGTTGAATGAATCAAGGTATAATTTCTTTATTGTAAACCCAACCTAGCCAGACTGGATCCGGGTTACGATAACCTACCATTGAACGGGTAGTAATGTGTCGAAATGTAGTCCAGATGTGATAGCTGGACTGGTATTATGTCATGCATGCAGCGATTATTCATTTTTTGACTGTTTATATCTTAAGTAACTTCAGACTTAATCTAGTTTTTTAGAATTTCTGTTTGCTTTGGTTTTTGGCGAGGAATGTTCCAGGGTGAATTGAAAAATTTGCACAAAGCTCTGAAAATCAGAACAGCTGAATCACAACTAAACTAAAGCCTTAACTAAAGCCAGATGTAAACGAAAGGACATAAAACACAAAGAGTAAATCTCGACTAAGGTTGATGTTAAAGATCTCTTGAATTGCTTTCTGACCGTTTTCCCACTCTCTTTGACTTCAAAATTCTGATTAGACTTGAACCACACCCTGCAGTTTTGGCACTGATTCGACACCCTTAGGCCCGGTACAAAGGAGTTTGCATATTACTCTACAGCCAACTAGTCTCCTGAAAACAATACTCTTTGAAAATCAACAAGATCTTTTCAATAATCGTCTTTTACCCATTTTCATAGAAGAATCATTTTCTTTGGCAGCATCCAAAAGTCTAAGCTGATGCCGAATTTCAAGAATTTCCTTAAGCCGAATATTAATGCTTATGTGATCTTTCTCTTTTTTGATAAACAGGCGTATTCTAATACTGTAAATATATAGGGGTTTTATTTGTATGCCTTCGGAAACTTTTTCTGTTACTCTTCCTCCCCTCCGCCCTTTCACCCATCCTCTTCTTTGTGCTTGAATATTTCTCGGGGAAACTGGCTTTTTGCTGTTTTTCAATTATTCATGGTTTCTGTGCAATCATATATAACATAATTTTCTTACAACTGAAATGAAAGAGAGACAGAACGATATTTTCATTAAAATATGTAATGTGAAAAATTACATTTCAGCAGTGCGTTGATAATTTATGATAAGTATGTTGATGGATCTTTTCTTTAATTGGTATCAATGATAATGTAATGCATTATTCCACTGCTTAGCCCCTATAAATTTCTTTCTCTAGATGTTATTGCGTGAGTGTTTTAATGGACACAACTTTTGTGGCCAATCCATGCTACGCTTAGAAGATTTCCGGATTGGAAGCACTTATTCATCTCCGAAACTTTGGATTTGAATCACACTTAGATGCTACAAAAGAAGAGACAAAATCATATATTTTAAAGCAATATAGATTTTCTAGCTCTGTTAAACTGATTTTTCTAGCATTTCCAGCTACTAAATTAAATATCAAACAGTAAATTTAATGCTACATTTTTTTTGCAATTTATCATTGACAACAAATAACTGGTTTATTATTCAAATCAAAACACTCTTATGCCATACTATTCTAGCTGAAACTTAACAAAATGCTTTATATATTCTGATAAATTTAATGCTTAAATTTTAAAGCTTAAAAATACAACTTAAGTTACACTATCTTAAAGACATTGTCTTCAAAACAACCTATCTCATTATATCCTTTACCTCATACCATATTTTTATACAATTAATGACATAATATCTTTAAATTGTTGTAAATTAGTGTTTGAAATAAAATTAGATTTTTAGTTCAATCAATATGATAAATGATTTATGTTAGATATAATAAACATTAAAAGAAACTGAAAATCTTTACACTGTAGTATATTTATTCTCTACTCTTTCAGTCTTTAATTTTCTATATCTAGTTTGATGTAATTTAAGGCCAGGCCTGAAGAGTCATCGCATTAAAGCATCGATTATTGAAACTATTTTCAAATTTTAAACGAATTTGTATTTTTTTTTGAATTCTTTAAATAGTAATAGCTTTTCAACTTGTTCAGCTCAAATTCTAACTTATATTTTTAATTTAGAATTTTTCAACATTTCAAATTATTTCAATCAAGCAATAGATTTCATACGAGTGAAAAAATTGAAATTCATATTTTATGTTCATCGGTTACTTCGAAGATCTTTGTAATTTTTACGTAATCTTTGTTATTTGCCTTTCTTATGAAGTTTTTTCTGCATTTCTCATTTGTTTGCTCCTACCTATCAAAATAAAGTACCCTTACCTTATATTTTTGTGGTATACTATTTTTTATTCTAGCACAATCTGAATCTTTATTTAATTTAGAAATAAACACAATATCAGAATACTAGATCTCACTCTACAAATACGAATCAGTCAATTACAGTCTCTTTTTTGCAGAATGGCAACGAATAGCCATAAACGTATTTGAGTTGTCCAGAATAATCTTTCTTAGGATAAAGACCATTGTTTTCTTTCTATCATTTTCAGGACTTGTTCGTGAACTGTGGTCACCTCTGGTTGTCAACAACATCAAATCGTTTACTAGCATACCAGATTACCCTAATAACCCCTCTGTTTTGTACAACATCGACAGATTTTCAACTCCTCGTGAGAAAGGAAAGAAATTTGGTCAGAGACTCCGGGGCTACTTCAATGCCCCACTCAATGGCCCGTACATGTTTGCAGTTTCGTGCAGTGATGAATGCGCATTATTCTTAAGCCCAAATGATGATGAAACGAAAAAATCAAAAATTATTGATCATCCTTCCGATGGGTATTTTGTTTATCATTTTGTTAAAATTTCATTTTCTCTCATCTGTTTTTCATTAAAAGCTTTTTATGTCGCTTCTGTGCGTAATATAATATCTCTCCCCGAATATGTTATTTTATCATTTTCCTTTGGTCTTTCACAATATGTTTTTTAATTATCCTCTTTCACTCGTCTCTATATATATCTGAATATTTATATATTCCCTTTTATATTTCAAGGATAATTTCTCATTTCTGTATTTGCATTCGTATTAATTTATTGTTTTGGCGGTTCATTGGTTTTCGTATTTTTTCAGAGTTCGGTTCCTTTTTTTGTACTATTTTTTTTATCTTAAAGTGTTAGTTTTTTGTATTCATTCAGCATATTCTTTATTGCATCATTTACGTTTTCATTGCCTTAAATTTAAATTCACTTTTGAATTGCGTTACACTATTTGGTTTATAGACAAGTTTAAGTTCTTAAAAGGCTTTATGTCTATTTTATGTCAGCCATAAACGTGAAATTCTATAATTTTCTGTTACTTGATATATTTCTTCCTTTAATATATTTGATATGTTCGATATATATTTACCTATTAAAACTGCAGATATAATTTCAATGATATAAACTATGTAAATATGCAGATATAAACTGCATATTTACCTAGATTATAAGAAAGTCAATTTGTGTCGTATATTAGCTTATTTGATATTTTATTAACATTCTTTTATGACGAATATCCTAATCTTGACTAGGTTTTTTTGTTATGAAATGAAAGACTTAAAGATTTATGAAATGAAAGAAAGATTAAATGTATAGCGCTTCAAATTTTCATGTTTCGACGAAATTCATTTTTCTAGAACTTCTCATTCCTGTACTCACATTAGATTTCGAAGTTGAATTTTTCATAATTCAAGTCTTTCTCTTATTCAGATATTAAATTTTTTTTTTCAAAACAGGGCAAGAGATATGAGTTCACAATACGTAACCCTCAAGGCTGGCAGATCCTACTTCATTGAAGCGTTATCGATTCAAAATGAATGGGTGTCACCCGTCCGGGTAGGCGTTCGTCTACCAAGCGGTTCTGTGTCAGCACCAATTGCCAAGGAGTACCTGCGTCCAACTAGAGCTGGTACGTCTTGAAGATGCAGGAATTTTATGAATATTCCTATCGTAAAAACTTGCAATCTATAGGTACAGAAAGAATTGGTTATAATTTTCATTTTCTTTTCTGTGCATAATGTCAAAAAGACAAAATGTCACATGGCGAAGTGTCAAATATATCAAATACATACAAACAGCATTTTTCAATATTCAAGCACTTGTTACAGAGGTCTCTTTTCTTTATTCTATGGTTGCCATTGAAACTTTTCATATAAATGTTGGCGTTCATTTGCTTTTTAAGGTTATCGATATTCTGCCATTTTTTAGGGGGGGGGGAGACAGATTGAGCAACTGTACTGATAGACTGTGAAAATGGTTTACTTTTTGGTTCGATCAACATTCACATTGCAATGTTTTGTCTTTCTAGGCATTCTTGGCAAGCATTTATGTTTGAAGAATAGATAGATGAAAATATCATAGCTGCTAGCTGCTTAGAATAGAAGCCATTTTCGATGCTTGGAGATGCTGAATCTCAAGCATATCCCTACCTTTCTTCTTGCCCACCAAAATAGACATAAGATTTTCATGAACTTCTTCATAATTCCATTTTTTCAATCATATGTTTGCAAAGCTGTTTGCATTGCTTCTTTCATTCCTATACAAGAACTTAAATATTTCACTATTTCCTTTACTTTTTAAAGAACTTTCTCTCCTTTTTAGGTTTAGCAGATGAAATTTTCTACAATATATCCAGCTCTTCTGTGAAGGATCTCATAAGTGATGGTACATTCCCAGATAGGCCAGCAAGAGGACGGTCAATAACTGATTTCGATGTTACTGATTTTGACAAAGATACGACCATAGGCCATCATGTCTCGGGATATTTTCTTGCACCAGAAACGGGGAAGTTTAAATTTTTCGGTGCATGCACAGATGGATGCCAGTTATTTCTAAGTAAAGATGATACATGCAATAAAAGAGAAAAGGTTTTAGATTATCGACCATCCTCTACAAAGCAAAGGTAGGTTATTGCTTTTTGAAAAACGCTTTATCAAAACACCCGCCTCAAAGTGTAAGATGGCAACCGCATGGTCGATAGAATACCCTATGAAAATAAAGAAGGAACTTGTGCGCATCATATATGAAGTGATGCTTTCTTAAAAGTCCTATTTTTATTTTTGGTAGTTATGTATAAGTGTTACTTTCTGCGACTTACCTTGTGTTATGATTTTCATGTTTTGGGATGAAATCAGGTTGGGACATGGAATGTTAGACTCTGAGGTGACGAATTTTAGGTAATTAATTGCGGCTCCTACGGAAAACAATTTTGACTTGCATCGAAAGAGAGAAGGCCAATCTAAAAAACCTACGAAAGAAAAAAACGTGGCGGTCCTACCGTCAAAGGATTGTTGATAAAAAGCGAAAAAGAATTATGTGCCATTCAAAAACCCTATCTTTTTTTTGAAGAAGGTCTACACAGTTTGAAGGTATTGTCGCGGGTAGTGATAAACATCTACTTTAAAACTTTTTTAATAGCCTGAAAATTTAGTTTTTTGTAAACATGTAAGAAAAATATTTTTCTGTCAGCACAAAACCCGTGTCTTTTGAAAATTATCATGTCGAAAACCCTGAATATATTTAATAATTTTATGGTAATTTGCAGAAAAAACTATTGTTTCAAGGACAATTCTATTCTGTTCTTTCAAAATGATTTTTGACGTCCATACTTCTTAGCTCTATTAAAGTTTATGGTATCCCATTGGATATTCTTATTTTCTTTCTACTGGATATTCATGCCTTTTTGTTTATCAAAGACAAGCGTATCTTTGGTAAAACGTGCGTATAAAATAGATGAATCTAAATAGCGCACTTATTTTCAGAGAAATTACGCAAAGCATTATTTGCAAAGATTATAATGATTGCAAAGCCTCACAAGTTTAGATGTTCTATAGAATAAACCCGCAGGATTTGAAATTCTTTGAGAAAGAAACCGCAAATGAATTCCTCCCAATCATTAATTTTCCTAATTTGTTCAAAGAACCAAACTCGTGCTATCAATTGATAAAGAAACGGTACAACTGCTCCGCTGATATCTTTTTTACTCAAGTATATTTGAATGAGAACTCTTATTTTAATGGTTCAGTTATCATATTCATTCTAAAACGTTCTCTTTGGACTTTTCATTCATTTTAAGAGCATCAAAGGTCATATTTAAGAAGCTAAAAATAAGTACAATCTTTGCATTTTACGCAAGTTAAGAAATATATTGCTGGATGACTGGTCAGAGCCTACAATTCTAAGGGTCCGTTGTTTGATAGTCTTCAACTCTCGGTAATTTAGGATCTAAGAACCACAAGGAGGTCACATCGAATACGAGGACTAAAAAACTACCTTAAGGGCAGAGCATCTCAAAGTCCTAGAAGTGTATATTCGAATGCTAGGTAGAAATAATTGAAAACTATACAAGACATTCAGTAATTTTTCAAAATGGATATCTTACCTGCAACCTATTCAAAACATAATCACCTATTTGTAAAGGCATATTTTATACGTTTCATCGATCAGTACAAAAGTAATGCAAACCATTTTCAATATTCTTTTGGCTAAAGCTATTCATTATGATATTAATTCACAAAAGTATGAAGAGTCATTAAAATCGGTAAAGATATCAAGTTATTCAAAAATATCAACAAAATTTATAAAGACACAGAAAAGTCGTTGATAGGTCTGCACAATTTGCATTTCCAATCAATTACTTTACTTAACATTTGTCTTGACTAATGAAATAGCTTTAAAAAACTAAAAAAATATTAAAAATAACTAAAGAATATTTAAAAATTATTATCATTGGACTTTCATATTGTTTATTTTGTATTTTTGCTCTTAAATTATCATAATTTCAGATTTGATGTTTCGAAGCCTGTTTCCCTTGAATCTGGTATGTATTACTTCATCGATGCACTTCAGACTGCCGTAGGTGGGAAAAGAAATAGCATAAAGATTGGTGTTGAAATGCCAAGTGGAAAGTCAAGTTTTCCAATACGAAAGGAGCTGTTATCACAGTTTCCACCAAGTAAGATCTCATTCATTCTAGAAAAAGATTTATCTTCTGTTCTTGTAATAACAGTTATGAGGTATTTTTACTTTCATTGGATGTAGCTCAAGAGTCAAGTTCTAGTCAACGTTTGTGGTCGATGGTTTGTATTCCACACCTAACACCATGTAACAGGGTTTTTTTTAAGGAAAATTCTGAGCTGCACATTTTTCGATAGTACTGTGTTGAAAGAATTATTATTGGTTCTTATAAGTGTAAATAAGATGTTCATGATGCACAGGTACAGGTAGCTTGTGCCCCAGACCTGTGGTGTAGCCAGGTTTGGAAGATTGGAGAGGCAATGAAGAGTTCAACAGCAAAGGGTCCGGGGCTTTACCCCCGGGTAAATTTTTTTTGACCACACCCTTAAAAATTGGGGGAAAATCCCCGTTTTGTAAATGTGTTTGAAAAGCTATGGCTTTTTTACGTGGCAATGGTTGGCTAATCAAACAAAATAACCGTCATATGTAGCTTTTTGTGGCTGACCCCCATTCTACAACAGTCCATTTCCTGTACAATTCCTCTAACGTTTATGTTCTGAATAAGGCAAGGAAGTGCTACGTGTAAAACAAATTTTCCAAAGTTTTAAGCAAATATCTAAAAATGATAAGCAGTATGCATAAGTTTAAAACTAAGTCATTTATCCTTGGAGCAAAATCTGCAAAATTCCCAGTTTTTAAGGATTGAAGCGCTTTAACATTTAAATTTCTGTTTTATCGGGAATTTCTAAAAAAATGTGAGCGATTTTTCTATATAAAACTTTTAAACGAGAGGAAATTGTAAACCTTCCAGTAGAGGTACAGACGAGGGTCCCCTGCGAGCGAAGTGAGCTGAAAATTCTTGCGACCACGCCCTTTAGATTAGTTTAAAATTTCAAAATATTTTTTACTGTCGTTTGCTTGAAGAACAAAATTGTGTTTGTGGAGTGACATTTAATAGCGATGTAATATATAATATTTTAGAACTTAATTATCGTCATTTTTTCGAGCTATGCCAATTAGATGGATTAAACTGATGACGATATAGAAAGGTATAAATAGCAATTGCACAGTAGCTTGAGAAGTAAATGTTAATTGTCTCCAATTTTGTTGTCGGTCTCTTTTGTTTGACCATACAACTATAAAATTTAGATTCGAAACTGGTAACATTTAATTTTTTGTGTTATCTGATTAAAGGGTTTAAACAGGCTCTCCTGCTTTAACACTATCAATTTTGTGCTTCATTTATGTGTGATTCAAAAACGATATGGCGACTATGAAGTTTCGTAAAAATTATATTTTTCCTTCATTGAATGTCTTTTTATAATTTCTATATCCCAATAGGTCTTTGTTTAATTTGAGTGCCATCTTTAGTATCTTTTTTGTTTCATCATTTAAATTTTTTCTAGTTTTTTTCTTTAATTTTTTTTCTATTTAAGTAAAATTTTATAACTCATTGCCCTATCAAATATCTTCTATCGCATGATGTGCTAACTGACATTAGAGTCACAATATACAAACAGTTTAAAATAATGAGGAATTCAAAATTCCAAAATTTCTTTTCAGAAAATTGGTCACGCTGTCACCAAAGCGTCTTTTTATGTTTTGTCAAGTACTGAGCCCCTCTTCTTTTAATTAACCGTATCCATTTACCTTACCAAACAGTGGTAGATTTAAGGAGGGAAACTAGGGGCAGTTGCCCCTCCCTCGTCGAGTTGAAGCAAGTCTGGCGCCCCTTTTTAGAATTTGTGCGCCCCTTTTGAAGAATGAAAATCAGGTTGAAATGTTTTGGAGACTTGTAGGTCAATTTACATGAAGGATGACCTCAAAGTATACAACAAATTTTGTGACAATTTCCTTATAAATTGAATAGAGAGCCTTCTGTCAGACATTAGGGTCTAAAATTGTAAGATGTGCATTTTGTAAGATGGTGGTTCTAGATTTCACAAAGATATTTTAAAGCTTTAGAAGTTGAAACCTCCATTTTCGAACTTTGTGAACATCATTTTACATGATAATTGTCAATCAATTAGAGTGTCTGAGCAAATTATCTTTTCAGGATGATAGGCAACAGGTTCTAAACGGACCATCGATTTTATGAAGAATTGTGTCTCTTTTCAAATGTCATTCCATTTTTTCTATTGTTTACACTAGGCAGACATGGAGTAGTAAGGGAGGTCTGGACAAACGTGAAAGGAGAGGATATACGAGACTTGACTGCATTGACGTCATACCCAAACATCCCCTCTTCGGTAAAAATACTTCAAACTTTCGATGCACCGTATAATGAAAGATACAATTACGGACAAAGAGTGCGAGGCCAGTTTATTGCACCAATGACAGGTGATTATCGGTTCGTTATGTCATGTGACCGCAAATGTGAGCTGTGGTTATCTAGCACTGCAAGTGAGGAACACAAAAAGAGGCTATTGAAAGAGAGTCACGTGACTGCACGACACCAGTTTGAAAAGTAAGTGCTAGCAATTCAGATAAGACTATCACAACATTCAACAAGCAGGCTCGGCCCAAAAGAAGGCATTCCAACATCTTTGTTTGACTTTTTCGGTAAAAATTAAATTTGCCATTATATGTTGCATTTTCAAATCAGAGACTATGGAGGTTCTCAAAAATTTCCTATTTGTACAAAGTTGTTTTTAAACACTGCTTTCTCTAACGTATTCCTTTGATTTTGGTTAACATCTTCTTTAATTTTGGTGAATTCAATCATTTCTACTAATATAAAAAAATATATATTATTATTTCTTTTCTCCGAGCTTACTATGCCTATGAAAATGTTTCCTCATAAAGGCAAAATGATGCAAAAGGATGATAATGTCATAGTTCTCGAGGTAGCAACTTGTAATTACTTTACATTTTGTGTACAGCGACACGCACTATACAAAAGAGCACTTAACATCAGCCGATATGACTTACTATACTTATCTCAGTTTCATTGTAACATTGATTTGTTGGTTTTAGGTATCCTGATGAACAGGTATCTCCGCCTATACATTTGGACATTGGGAGGGAATATTATATAGAAGCACTCCATAAAGCTGGTACCGGATTAGATCATTTGTCAATCGGAGTCACACTACCAAATGGTGAAAATGAATGGCCTATACCACAAAAGTATCTCAGAATGAAATCAAATGGTATATGTTTTTATAGTTCTTAAGGCATTGAGTCATGGTAAATAGGCCTTTTCTATTGGGGGTCATTTGGTTTCGGCGTGATCGCTGCTGTTTCATGTGATACTTGCTGTTGATGAAAATTGCTTTGTCAATCAGTACGAGGTGAGTTCATGTGACCAGTTCCAGGTCAACCAATAGCATCGCAGTCATGAAAATCATGACTCAGCGGATTTTAGCACTTAGAGTATACCCAAACCATTTTATCATGACTCAATGCCTTTAAGGTTCATTGATTTTCCTAGAAAACCCAGATTGCTTTTGAAGATCTTCACAACCTCCATGGAATTATTTCCAATGGCTCTACTTCCGGGTTTTTAATTAGAACTTACATCATTGTTAACAAATCAAAAGTCAGTTAAGGTATCAAACGCTTCACCTACAGAAGTCATGTATGTGGAACATTGATAGATAAACTTCAAAAGGGTGGATAGTAAAATACTTGCATTGTATTTGTGAGGTTTTTAGAGGGGTCAAATTTTGGTTAAAAGTGAGGCTATCAGCTTAGAAAAATACTCAACAATTTTGGAAAATGTTTTCTTTTAAAAACAGATTAAGTTTCTTCTTTATATTTAGAATAAGCAGGAATTGAATTCGGTTATAGAAAAAAGTCTTTTTTGTAAGAAAATGCCGAGTTTTTAGAGGGGTCAAATTTTGATTGATTAAAGCTAGCCTTATCATTGACTAAGTCTGTTTATTATTTAATCCTGTAAGTGTTTAGCGTTCACATAGTAACAATAATTGATACCTATTGGTGGTATCATTCAATGACGTTCGATGAATCGTATTTTCGTAGAAAAGAAAGAGACACATTTAAAAGACCCTCCTTGCTTATTCAAGAATCAAGAACAAAGTAGTCCAGCAAACCCGGGTGATGCTATCGTGGACAGCAACGAAATCGCTGCCAATCCAACGAGTCATTCCAAAGAAGTCAAGGTGTCGTCCTTTGCACTTGATAATGCCTACGAGAAGATAGAAGAGTCATTAGGTGGAGATTCTGGAAGAGGCAAAGGGGCAGCTGATAGCTCTTCCTTCGAGCTTCATAAAATGTTCCATGGCTCCAAAGGAAAAGAGCATGGAGAGGAACCATCTATTTCTTTGAATAAAGAAATGTCTGATCCAACACAAGTGGAAATAAATAAACTTCATAAATCAGTAAGCAAGTTGATCAAGGCCGCTAAAGATGCTGGGCATAAAGTTGAGGATAATGATCAAAATGCCAAATTGAATCCTGCAGCAAAAATTAAAGAAAACGAAAGTTCAAATGACGAGGAAGAGCTTGAAAAACTTCTTAGCAGCTTTGGTAGTAATGCAAAAATTAAAGTCATACGCTTGAAATCAAATGGGAAACTAACAAACGATGATATTATAAACGCATTGAAAGCTGAATCTCAGAACCATAAAGTGACAAATAATGACGCTGATGATGATTCAGCACTATCTATTAACCAGTTGCTGTCTCAGTACAATCCAACTGAGTCACTTGAAGCACTTGGTACCATATCGAAAGGCGAAGACTTTGAAAGTCAGCTTCTAACGCAGGTCCCCGCAGATGAAGCGCAGAAGATTTTAACAGAGCTAAGTAAACCAAAGCCACCCCCGAAGATCGAAAACAGTGATGGTATTAAGGTGGCTGGCGATTCAGGTGGTAATTTGCAAGTAATGGAGCAAAATCCGTTCTCAAATGCAATTTTTGGAAGTCATACGTTAGCGGAAGATGTGCACACCAGCCTACCAGGTAAGCAATAAGCTGTCAGAGATCAGGCGAATTTCTGAAGTATTTGTTTATCGGAAGATTATGTCCCGATGAATTTCAGTGGTCATTTGAATTCCCAATGGTTGCATTAGATAATAGGCTATTGTTAATTTTGCAAAAAGGCACCCAAATAACATCAGATTCATATATACATGTTTCATAAACTAGATAATATATTAAGGAGAGCGGCTATTCCCCCCCCTAAACCCAAAAAAAATTTTTAATTGAAAAATTAGATATCTATCCACTCTTTCCAGCTAGTAGCGACGTACACCAAGAAAGGCCGGTCACAATTGTTAACCAACCAAGTCAGTCTTCTTTGATGACTGAGGGACAACCTGTCACCGTTGTTGGAAATTTAGCAGAAATCAGCAAGGCAAATGTAAGAGCGAGTGCACTTGCACAAGAAAGCGAAGATTCTAACCAAATTGATATTGTTCATGCTGTTGGACGCCCTGTGTCACAAGACAGGCCTCAGCAGTCTCCTGTCGATCAAAATATCCATGTTGCGCATCATGTTCCAATCAATCGTGTTTCTGATTTTGATGTTTTGGATTTGGACCTGGTTGGGCTCAAGCAACTGTCTAAAACTGGGTATTCCGCGAACTCCCCTACCTGGTCACCTTTTGCTCAACCAGCTGGTAATTTTCCATTGCAAATCTCACAAGGTAATTTCATGGGTTAATTTTGTTTGTATCTATAATTAAACAAGTGACCAAATGGCTCGATTACTTATTTACAGTATGTTGCTGTTTGCTCTTGGTTTGAATTCAAATTCAGAAAATGACTTGGGTTTGTATTTGTATTTGTATTTGTTTCTACCTAGCATCCGAAGGTAGTTTTTTCGACACTGAGAAGCTGTGCTTATCGAGCAGTGTCCTGGTCCTTCCTCTCGATGTGACCACACCTCGTGATTCCTATGCCTGGAATTACAGAAAGCTGGCGACTCTCCTCACTCTGGGTGAAAGTTTGGTCATGCCAGGGACTCGAAACACGGACCCGTGGGTTTGTAGTCAGCGCCTCTAACAACTGAGCCATCCTCGCACCAATATACAATGGATGGGTTGAGCCTGCAGTCAGCCCCATCGCATATTGGGCTGAAATTAAAAACAACAGGAGGATACAACGCAGAGTGGACAAGACACTTAGGCTAGCCCTTCTCTCAATAATCCAATAAATGGATATATGATGGAAAAAAGCTTCGTATAGCATGAAAAGGAATAGGCTTCTAAATTTTATGCTAGTTAGCAGGGGAAATAAAAATTTCTAGGAAAACCAAGAGGTATACTTTGCTACTTTGGTAGCTTTTCCAAGTAACACCCCATATACAGTGATTTATCGAAACAGCGTGACCAAAGAGACCAAAGCACCCACTTCTATCTAGTGTTATGATTATTTTTGTACATTTAAACGACCCAACATTATAATCACATAGTTGGATTGATAGGCCTATCATTCTTGAAAAATAGAGCTTGCGCTCTGCATTTGTTTTGTAGCCACCACAGAAAATGCACGCAATGAAATAATGTCTGGTATAGGGCTATTAAATGGTATTGCGATTCTCTGTGACTTAACCTCGTTTGTTATCGTCAAGAATGGAACTTTGAAAAAAGGGAAACTTGTTGAGTGCATAGGGTTTGCATGTTTCCATTCTTCTGGTGAATGCAATCTTTGAATTTCGTGGACATATCTTGTGGGTGTATAGGGTTTCTCTCTTGCATTTTTCAATTCTTCTGGTGAATACAATCTTTGAATTTAGTGGACATATCTTGTAAGCACTAGGGTTTCTCTCTTGCATGTTTCGATTCTTCTGGTGAATACAATCTTTGAATTTAGTGGACATATCTTGTAAGCACTAGGGTTTCTCTCTTGCATGTTTCGATTCTTCTGGTGAATACAATCTTTGAATTTAGTGGACATATCATGAATGCCTTACACTCTTGCTCATAGTGGCTCAATAAATGACTTTAATATTATATCTATCTTATATAAAACAGAACTCGAAGCAGCGCCGTTAGTCAGTGACCAAATGGCTTCAATGCTTTCTAGCGAAGACCTAGGATCACCTGAATTTTATAAACGAGGAAATAAGATCTCACGCAAAAAACTTGCCAAAACACATAGAAAAAAAGAGCAACCCAATCGAAAGAACCAAAAGAAAAGGACTAAACTACAAAAAAATCATAGTAAAGAGACTCCGAGAAATTTTATTCCAAAACGATCCAAGATATTAAGAGGAGAGCAAGCTGGTAAGCTAGAGAGCAGAACGAAGGGTAATTGGCATTCGCATAACCACCGCCAAGCAAGTTCGTTAATCAAGAAATCCTCATCACCAAGTGATGACTGGGCTGTGATATCAACATATTTAAAGAATCTTGATTTACCAAAAACTAAATGGAAAGCAGGAGCTAGGAGTATAATAAATAATGCACGAAGAATCATCGATATGGGCAAGGCCACTGGAAATTCTAACACATTAGACAAGGGAAAGAATGCAGTTATTCAGAGTATTGTGCAACCAGAAGATCCTAGTGATGATACAAATAACGGAAATCATTTAATATCAAGTTTATTACAAAACATTGCTGAAGAGGTTGGAGGAAATTCGACTCCTCTAGATGAATATATCAATTCTGCACATTTAGCAAAGAAAATCCAGCGTGATATTGTCACTAGACGACCACTGCGAAATGAAAAGAGCGAAAAGAAAACATTTAATCGTATACTAAATAGTGATGAACTTAAAAAGGTTGATGACATTCCTGTAGAAGATGAATGATTGAATTGAGAGGTATAGATTTCTTAAATGATGGCGTCACAAAGATATATTTTTTAGAATTTTTGAATTATAATCCCACAGCTTTAAAGAGCACCAAGAAATGCCTCTATCTGTGAAAAATCAGATTAATTTGTTACGAATTGGCTGAGATATGGCAACATATGCACAAGACACTTCCCCATCAAACCACTGTAATTTGGTCTCTTTTCATAACTTTAGTAACAGAGCCAAATTGAAAGCAATACGGTAGTAAACTTCGAATCGTTAATTGGCCATATCTCAGCCAATTTTGGCATATTTAACAGAAGTTGCAGAATTAGAGGTATTACAAAGTGCTCATTTAGGTTACGTGGTTAAAACTGAAAAATAGATTTTATTATGACGTCACATTTAAGAACTATAACATTTAATGTGTTTTCCGAATAAGCAAATTGTGCGCTTACTTAAAAAAATAGCTTCAGGGGTATGTGCTTATTAAGTAAGTACGGTAACTGCATTTTTTGTAAAAAGTGGAACATTTTTAACAAAGTTATCGCCAGATAGTTGAAACACGTTTGAGGAAATTGACCTTTTTTCGATTTTTGATAATTTGCCTAACCAAGGACGTTGATCGAAGTAAATCTTTTGAGAATAGAAAAATTTGAATTATCTTGCAGTGAGAGTATCATCGTTGGTTGCATCAAAACTTTAATTCATTTATTCTTCTAAGCAGTGGCGGATTTAGAAGGGGCAACTAAAGGCAGTTGCCTCTCCCTCGATGAGTTGAAGCAAGTATGGCGCCCCTTTTTTGGAAACTGTGCGCCCCTTTTGAAGAATGAGAATCAGGTGAAAAAGTTTCTGAGACCAATAGATTAATTTGCTTCAAGGTAGGCTCTATGAGAAACGAAAGGGAAATCATTGTCTTTAGCGACGTAGTAATAGACAGCTTTTTAGGAAACGGAGACACAAGAGCTTTTAGATTAGTAGAAAAAACAGTTAAAAGTTTACTTAAGAATTAAAGTTGAAAGAATTATGAATGGGCTCTAAAAGTTTAATTTTCGTGAGATGTAAAATCTCGTTAGGCCTGCAGTGATGTATATATGATTAAATCGATAGTGTAGCAAGGATTCAATTAGCTCTATACAGTGTTTTCTAAGAATTTTAATTTCTAAGAAATTTATAGATTTTGTACTCCACTTGACAATTTATTTTTTATAACTTCATGCATAAATTATACTAAGCATCTGTTTCGTGTCTTGTTTGCTTTTCTTGACTAGCATTTTTGTCTTACTTATGTAAAATGCAAAGAAACTGGTATCAGAATGTACACCAATAACTAAAACAAAAACTTAACTGGTAACATTCACATTTATAATGTCTAGGGAAGTATTATATTTTATATGCGGATAATTTTATTTTTAGCTAAATATTGTTTTTTGGGGAAATTACCATTTATTACTATTCCTCAGAGCCCAGTCGTCCTTCCTTCTAGCAGTTTTGGAATCGATCTACATACAAACAAAAAGCCGCCATTTTGTAGACAGAAAAGGTTCGTTTTCTCTCTTGGATTCCAGTGGTAATTTGTCTTTAGGCACGGGACACTGATTGTTCAACTATACCGGTCTTGTGCCTGCATTTTTCTGATTGGTCTACTTCGAACTACAACTGGGTATATATTTTTCATCGTGTTCTTTCGGACCCTTATTCTGACGTTTTATGCTTTGAGTGTCAGACGAAAAAGCTTTTAGCCAATATGTTGTAAAATGTTTGCTTTTTCAAAGCCATTTTCAAGTTCTGCACTGCCAAAAAATTGTTCACATTTATTTATCATTATCATCTTGATAAAGCCCAGTCTTCTTATCTTGATTTTAACAGGTTCTTCAAAATCGTTGAAGCTTTCTAATAATGAATTAGACCAAATAGGTTTGAAGCCTCGTAGCCTATGTATATGACTTTCTTCCGAAGAAAACTTCGGAAAGCTTAACTCATGTCTTGCTTCCCAGATTTATGGACCTGTCTTTTCTTAAAATGAACATACTTGTCTCATCTTTCGCCTTTTTAGCTCTATGCTTCTTTTCTCGTGCCAGGGATATGCTAAGGTTTCTTGGTCCATCGTGACATTATCAACTAAACACATATTTTAAAAGAAAACATTTTAATTTCTATAAACCATGCCTTCTATTCTTCTTACGCAGTTTGCCTTTTGTTTTTTTGAAGATATCAAGGCCTATGCAAACTCCAAGATCATCAAGATGTATGTATGTTTAGATGGTGCAACCTCAGTACAGAATACTAGCCAGTGGTCATTTCTTTCAAACAGCTTTCAAAGATAACTTCATAGATATAACTAAAAAAATCTACAATATATGACATCAAGCATTTTGATAGATAACATATCATCAAGGCAGGACATTCAAGTTTTCTAGCGATGCTTTTTCTTAAGCAAGAACTTGTTCGAGCTCTTTTAACTAGATATGCAATCTTTGCTTCATAATTCCATCATCTGCTGATGTCTTGTATACTAAAGGAAGTGAATTCGGTTTGGCGCTCCTTCAAAATTTAGAAATAAGTCTTTGTTAGAAATGATCAAAATTGCAGCAATTGTTGAACTTCGGCTCATCGTTAGACACAAAAAGTGCAAACTGAGAATTAAATAGGCCACAAGATACCTTCCTAGCAGAGGCTTGTCCAGAGTTTATTTTAACAAATTTTTATCACTGCACATATTCAAAAGTTTTTGAAAATTTGGGTGTCACCTTTTGAAAATTTTCATGACCACACCCATCAAACTAGATGGATCATGAAAAATCTCGATAGGTTTTAGATACTGAACAAATTTCAAACAGATTTCATGAATTATGATCACTGCTACTGTTATCTTCTCGTTTTTAATATTGTAATGCTCTTTGATTAGCTTTATTTTAGTTTTATCACTGCACAAAGTTTGAATTTAGCACTGCACAATAACGTTTTATTGCTGCAAAAATTGGCTATCACTGCGAGTTAAAATAAACCCTGGGCTTTAAAATGAACAATTTCTATTACATGGGTCTTCGAGATGGAATTAATCAAACGAAACAAAAGTATTCCTGAAAACAGTAATTTGCTTAAAATGAAATGAAATATTTAATGACGGTTCGTGCATAAAACGAACGAACAGGGTCTTAATATATTTAATGGCGGTCTTATGGTCTTATGCTAGAGTTCGTCAAGAGAATGTGAAGGACACTTGCAGCCGCTTTGCGTTTCATCGCCTTCATTTTGTTGGCGTGAGTGAAAAGTCGAGTGAAAAATCGTGCGAAAAATCAAATTGTTTGGCCATCCATGTTCGACTTCGCTCGGTTTTGAAATCAAATGTCAAGAGAAAAATCTTGCGAAAAATCGAATTGTTTGGCCAAGGCTTTACAAGGCATAACTTTAGGAAAAAGCATAGCGATGTTCTAGAAAAGGCTACTTTTTATGTAATTCAAATTGTGGTTGTGATTTCTTTCTACCATTGAGTACTTTATGGAAAAGTAGACAAAATTCAAGGGCCATTATATTTTACTGTTTTAGGAATCCATAAAGAGTCTCACCTTTTCAAAGAACAGAGTTACTTTCTAAAGTTGCAGGCTAATAACTAAAATAATTTATTGTTGATACATGAGTTATTCTGCCACAACATACTGGCATACAATTAGAAAATTCTAGATCAGTTTTTCCAATACTCTGGGTTCCAGAGTTCCAGAGCGTCAAGAGTGGGGGATAGGGAAAAAGAGCGTCTCGCAACGCCCTATTATTTGTATCTTTTGAAGTGTATGTTGTGGGATTTTGAAATACGAACTGAAACTGAAAGCGTTTATATTATTTAACATTGTTTATACTTTTAAGCTTGAATTATTTCTAATTTGCAACAAGTGTATGTATCCAGTGGAATTTAAAATAAAACTGAACTGAACTGAACTGAACTTTGCCCTATCGCTCACAACTGGAACCAACCACACAATCGGAAGACTTTTTAAGTACAGCCTCGTATTGACCCTTTGTGAGAACATTGACAAAATGGCCGCCCGATTTTATCAGCTGTAGAAGCAGACCTGTTACTAAAATGAAAGTTTTCAACATTAAATGTCTCTGTAAAATCAATTTGTAACCATATAACAATAGATTTTATTTAAGAATAAGAGAAATGGCATTTAACGTACAGAAAAGGCCACCGTTGGGAAGTTATTCACCTTCTCCTCGTAAGGAGGATGGTGATAATAGTTGTGAGTCAGCACACCATTCATCTAACAATGTTGAAGAAACGTCAGCAGGTTCTAGGGAAAATGGATTGAAGTTTGATGGTTCAAGCATGAGGCGTTACCAAACAGATATCAAAGTTGATCCAGGTAATAGCTCTTTATTTCTCCTTTTTTCGTCGTTTTCAATCAAGTCTGTCTTTCCTCACCATTCACGATGCAGTTCAGTTTGCATTCGCTATACAACCGTTATTAAGAGTAATGTATGACTGAAAGAGAGGGTTGTGGATGCTTCCCCAGGAAACTGTTTAAAACCTTGTTCTTAATATTGGCTAAGACTGCCTTTTGTTTACATCGAATTGGCTTACATACAAACTCTCTACATAGTTTTAAATTATTTTTGCATTGATAATAAATACTTAGAGATAATTTTCGACCTGGAAGCAAAGTCTCCTGATACTTTGTTTTTCTGGGGAAATGACCTTCAAAATAATTTGGCAGCTGCTAGTTCTGCTGGTGATGTTAAATGCATGGCTAATTTTGTTTATGTGAATGGCAAGGCATATTACATCATCATTGTGCAACCAAGGGTCTCTCTAATATGGTGTCATCTCTAATATAACACAAGGCCAGAGTGGTGCCATGGGAGGACATGCCCCCAGTTCTCAGCAGGATTGTGTAATTCATCTAAATTTGATGAGAAAATGTTGGGGGAGTTGTACTATTTTGGTGACATATTTTTTGTGATGTTATCCCATGATTTTGCAACTTCGTTATAAAGCTAAAACCTCAGATTCTGCTATCGGGCAGCATTTACTGGAAAACCCAGATTGTGCAAAAAACTATAATTGCCACATTTTTGGAATTTTTAGTAAAGCCTGATTGTTGTTCCATTTAGCAGTTTTGGAGTCTATCTACACAAGCATGAAAAAACTGCTTTTGTGTAGACAAAAGGAATTTTTTTCACCTTAGGACTCCATTGGTAACATTCCCAATAGGTAAACAGCACTGATTGGTCAACCTCAACAGTCATGTGCTTGCGTTTCTGATTGGCCTATTTTGATCCACAACTGGGTATATATATTGCCAAGCGTAAAGTTATCAATCTATGTTCTGATGTTTTAAACTCTCAAGAGTGTCAGACAAAAAGCTTTAGTTTACTCAAATGTTTGCTTTTTTCAAAACTTCCTTATGTAACCAAAAGTTATTGGGTGTTCTCTAGGTATAAAATTGGAGTTCCTTGCCAGTGATGAAAAGTCTTCTGGCAGCAAAATGGGCATGTCCTAAAAATCTTATTTTGTCTATAGTTATCGTTTGTTGCTTATTAAAATGTCCCTCAACAAATATGTAACCCACAACAATGCCATGGGTGGATATATAGCTTGTTGATGTTGACAGATTCCTATATTAAGTTTTTTTTGTAAGTGTTGCCATTTTTATGATCTGATTCCAGTGCAGAAAAAAACCAGCAAGAGATGATGTTATTTGACTGTTGCATCTTTATTAATTTATTGATTGACTTTTTACCTATTTATCCAATTTCAGCTGACACCAAAAAGCAGATACTGTTCATCCTTTTGATATTTGTCACTGCTATTGGAGTTTTGGCATTTGTATATCTGAAGTTTCCAAACATGAGTCTGTGAGTTATTAAAAGCCATAAACTTGATTTTTGCTAGTTGAATTGGCATTAGACAGGATAAGAAAGGAAGTAATGATGAAGTCTGTATTCTAGTTTTTAAGACTCAATCTTAAATAGATATTTACTTGTTTCTAATTTTTATAAATTTTGTATTTGCAGATAATTTTAATTCAATTTTAAATTCAAATTATTTTTATTATTAGAAAACTCATTCTATAGAATATTTTTTGTTCTTAAATGACATAATTATGTTCAAGAGAAAGTATTTCACAGAGAAACATGTGCCATGTTTTCTAGCCTTTAAAGAACTAGTTTTTGTTTGCTTTCATTATTATATTTTACTCACAATACATCTTCCTGTATCCTTTTATTTAAGTGCTGATAAGGAAAAATTCAAACTTCCTAAGAATCTTGATGATGCAAAAGATCTTGGTAGAGTCTTGTCAAACTACAAAGATGAGTTTTTCCTCCAAGTTGTTCTGGGCTTCATGGCAACATATATTTTGTATCTTTTCTGCAGTTGTTGATTTAATGAGCGTAAATTAATGTTGGCCAATAGTGTTCTTTTATTTTCAAATATCAGCCTCACAAAAATAGAAAGTCACAATTATACTATTTTGTACTCATAAATGAGTTATTTTGATGTTAGTGGCCAGTTGCTAAGTTTTTTTATGGTTTTTCTTGGAATTTACTTTTTTAGTTATTCCAATTGAATACAGTATAATCCGGTTATAACATACTTTAAGGGACCAGCTTATTAAGTATGTTATATCTGAAGTACGTTGTAACAAGGGTAAGTATTAATTGATTAAAACCAAGCACACCTTTTGCCAGGACCAAGCACACCAGTACGTTATATCCGAAAGTACATAATAACCGAGTATGTTATAACGGGATTCTACTGTATTGTGCTTTCCAGACTTGCTTTATAGATTTTTACAGACTTATTCGCCTCCTGCTTTTATCCTATAACAACATAATAAAATAATGAAAATTGGAGAAAAAAAGTGTTGTGTCACATTCTGATTGATGTATGAATAAAAGTAAAAGTATTTGTTAAGAATTGATTCAACCTTTGGCAGCATAAGGTGCCATTCATCAGGATTATGAAAACATTCTTACAAAAAGGGACAATATGTTTGTTTTCATCAACATTACTTACATTTGATCCAGAATACATTAACATTTTTCTCATCTGTTTTTCTCATCTGTCTGTCAACATGAATAAAAGATGAATGAGGCCATTCCATTTATTTTTAATCAATACATTTCACAGATAAACTTTTTTGTACTCATCAGATTCCTTCACAGTCTTTGAATCTTTATCTTAAAATTTTCTTAACTACTATACAGCCTAAATGCATTTGCCATTCCGGGATCAATATTCTTAAGCATTTTGTCAGGGTTCCTGTTTCCCTTACCTTTAGCATTATTTCTAGTCTGTTTGGTAAGTAGAATTGTGTTTTTTTCTTCTTTGTATCTGAAACAACCCGAAAATGAAAGTCTTATGAAGCTATTTCGGCCAAAATTCTAATTTTTTTGTGTTTTTTCCTTATGATACATGTTCTTTATATCTGTTGCTGTTTAAATTAGATACAAATGCATTTCTTTTGTATTCTGTTACTTTGAAGATGTTGTAATTTTAAGTATATCATGGTAATTGCTTGACGTTTTGGATGTTTATTTTGTTAATTTTCCTTTGCCTTTTCCTTTAACCTGACCTAAACTTTTTTCTAGATCTTTCCCAAAGATCGTTTCATTTCACTGCATCCATATTTGCCACAACTTTGTCATTGTGACATTTTTTCCTGCTTTGTGTCAGTTTATTTGATTTGATCTGCATTTTATCAATCCTTTCTCTCATTTCAGTGCACAAGTGCTGGTTCTTCACTCTGCTACAGTCTTTCTTCAATAGTTGGAAAAAAATTGGTACAAAAGTATTTTCCAGAACGCATCAAGGAATGGAAAAAACACGTATGGTATTGTTAAAATAATAATGACTTATACAAAGTTTATGAAGTTTTCATGCTTTCTGTCTGATACTTCTCAGAAACTCAAGATTACAGGAAATCTTTGCCAAGAGTGGATTGTAAGTAATGTGGGTGAAAACTAACGTGACTGCCAACCCCTTGTTAACACGTTTTAAAGTGCTATGAAAAACCTGAAAAAAGGGATCGCCTTTTCGTTGTCTTTAGGCCTTTCTCTGCATTCTGAAAACTAAAGTTATTTCTTTCAACCCAGTCTACTGATCGCCAGTTTTGAGACATATCTTTCCATACTTTTAAAAGGGAGCGAAAATTTTTGATTTTCTGCACAAACCTTGCTCAATGTCGGTCTTTTAAGTGGCCAATTTCTGGTTTGACCTGAAGGATTCAATGCTCATTATTTTTTGAATCATGGAAAGGCAAGGATGGGATTAAAAAATGAAACAATATGTTAATTTTCAATATTGCTCAGAAGGTGAACAAATTTCCTGGATACTTTGAGGCCGGAAAATGTTTCAGCTCTTTTGTGAATTTATCGAAATGTTGCAGCAAAAACTACTTGCGACAGCTTAGGTGTTTTATTTGATGCTATTTTATGTAATGCCTTTGTGTTATGAAGTGATACTTCCATAGGTGGTATTCAACAAGCATTTAAGGAAGTTTAAGTAATAACATCAACAAAGAAATTAAGCAGCAGAGTAGAAAATTGGTTCTTAGTGTCTGATAAAAAGTGACTTTATAATTTTTAACCCTTTGAAAATCCTCTAGCAATAAAACCACCAAGTAAACTAATTCTCTATTAACTGATTGGCATTTTGATTTTTTGTAAAAAATATTTCTTTTATGTCAGGTAGACCATCATCGACAGGATCTGCTGCACTACATCATCTTCCTTAGAATAACACCATTTTTACCTAACTGGTTCATAAATATCACATCGCCAGTTTTAGATGTCGCTCTTTGGCCTTTTTTTCTTGGTACATTCATTGGTGAGTAGAAATCGTATCTTCTTTTTGTCCTTCAACAAGCATCTTCATAGCTTCTCTGTCATTTTAATTTTTGTTGTTTATCAACGATTTTGTTTTTAGATATTTTGTTTTCTTTTTTTGATACTTAGAGTTAATATCTATCTCTATTTATTCTTGAAGTTAACTAAATTAAATTTCAGGTGTGGCGCCCCCGTCATTTGGCTACATCAGTGCTGGATTTGAACTGTACGAACTCACAACTACGGGTGACGCACTCTCTTTTAAGTCAATTACCCTTGTGGTTGTTGCAGCTGTTGTTTCACTTTTACCCGTGATTTTTCGCAAAAAGATGCAAGAGAAATTGGAATAGATGATACACTCATTTGGAATAGATTTGCATTTATTTAACACATTTGCATTGAATATTCTATACTGCATAAATTTCGACATCTTTAAGTATAAAACTTTTAGATAAACTCAATCGCATCCATATATTTTGTTTGAGAGACTCATTAAAATATGTAATATCTTTCGACTATCTTCTTATTTCTTGTATTCTTGTTAACTTGAAAAAGTTCTTTCCAAGAAACACAAGTAAACAAAATAACCTCTAATGTTTGCTCTTTCTCTTACCACATTGCGTGAAGGTATTCTTGTTAAGACACAGATTCAAAAATTATTTTTCAACGACCTGTTGATAAATAAAATCCTTCACAAAAATTGTGAGATGGCATTGGGTCTTTCCCCTCCCCCCCTCCCCCCTTCTCCGTGCAAAGCATAGATTTTTTGATTTGTAAGAAACGTGGTTGGTAAATCTTAGTTTCAAGTCAACATTGGGGAGGGGCATTGCAATTGATGTCATTTTATTGAAGCATAAAAAATTTTTACTGAAAACATTTAGAAGTCAATAGAGACTGGTCGTAAAGGCAATCGACGGATACTAAATGATCTTTTGCCATCTTTAAATCAAAACTTGACCAATCAGTGAGTTTGATTCTATTCACACGCTCATTGATTGGCTAATATTAATTGACAGATGGCTTCAGCCACTCTTTAATTTCTTATTCGGAGAAAAAACATCAACAAATGCATTCCATCAATTTAAATAAAAAGCTCCCTCAGAAGATGTTGCCACATCCCTCATCAAATCAGATCTTGAGGCTAAATCCCCTCGTCACAGGAAGCAACGTTAGATCGTTGGTGAATCGGCACAAGTTGCTTCACCTAGCTCATACAAAATCCTAACCTTTGATATAGCTTTAAAGACTCAAGTATAAGCAGCTTAAAGTTCTGGGCGGGGAATGGACAAGATAAGTTCACTTTCCCCACCAAAGAGCTGATGCACCAGTCCTACCTTAGATACCTAAGACATGAGAGGGGAAGAGAAAACATGACTGATTTAAGAGCCTAATCTTTACAGCGTTTGATGGGACTTTCTTACTGTCCATAGGGACCCCATATCAGTTTTCCCCGAGTTCCTCAGAGGCCTTCGTTGCGCTACTTCATGAAACAATATGTTTCTTAGAATCTGTGATGTAAGGGGAACAACGCCACCTGAGGAGAATATCAAGCCATCTGTCTTTTAAAGAATTGAAAACCAACAGGAATTTTTAACTTTGTCACCTAAATAATAAATGAACTAATTTGCTACTTTAAAATCTGTAGGACAACAAATTACATCTGGATACACTAATTATAACTTTCGATAAATACAACATAATGCAACTTGAATTGTTACTGATAGTAAACACGGGGGGGGGGGGCACTCCCATACATAACCTGAGAGGCCTGATAGTAAATATGAAAGAAAATTCATCAACAAAAATTATGTGAGAGCAGCTTACTCTATTTTTTTAAAATGGACCTATTCCTGTTACATTTGCTATTGGTAAGTATTGTGACACTTAATATGATTTGACATAATTTCGCCGTACTTTACGGTATACGTTTTATTGGACAGGGTATGCTTTTTCCAATTTTTATGGGACAGAGTCAGGGTGCAAGAATGTTTTCTGCATACCCCTTCATTTTTCTAGTCAAGTACCCCCTCCTTGGTAGTAAAACAAAAAATATTAATATGTATGATTGTTCTAAACCGTTGCAAATTCGGGACATTTTGATTACAACCTTTCGATTTCCCCAATAGATATAAAGTATACTTTCTTTTCTACTTTCCTTCCTTGGCATGATAAAGCCCATTGGTACAAATACCCCATTTGACAGTGACGGAAATTATGAGTGTTCGGGGGGGCTCGGGCCCCCCTCCCCCAATCAGCGATGTCGTCGGAAAATTCGAGCTTTTGTTGGATAATTGACAACGGTTTAACGTGTAAAAATTACTCCAAGAAATCGCTTTGAAAAATAATTCTAAGCTAATCTTAGGGGCGTAAATGCCAAATTTTATTCTGATCTGCATTTTCCCTTTTTACCCCAGTGTCATCTGTAGCCTCTCTGTTCCCTTTTTGCAAAACTTGAACATAGCATAGCAGATAAAAAACAGCCAGTACTAAATGGCTATTCAAACAAACAATCAAACAAACAATATAAACAATATAAGTCATATCTGCTTGTGAATTGTAAATTTAATTTCAATTCCGTAAAGATTAGTCGAAATTTCCATCAGATTCTTACAAATAAAAGTTATTTTCAAACGTATTTCCAACTGACGAAAACAAGATAAAACGCATAAAATGAACGTACGATTTGTCAAAAGTGTAATCGGTCGACCTCTTGTACCATCAGCTGTCTTTAGATGAGATATCGATCTTGATATAAAAAATCATAAATGGACTGTTTTTCTTGCTACTTAATTATGGCATTGTCATGTCAGCAAAGATTTCTAAAGGGTCCCGTCAAAAAATCATTTTTTTCTATCAAAATGTGCAGTTTCTTCAAAATTAAACATGATCCAAGATTTTATCTTGTCGGGAAATCGAAAGCCTGGGTCTCCCCAAAAGAAAGCCTGAATTTCCGCCACTGCCATTTCGATCGTGTTGGCCCGTATTTAATCATCGGATTTAATTATCCCGTGTTTAATCATCGGAACTGAAACACTATGGTATTAGAGGAATAGCTTTATCGTGGTTTGAATCTTACTTAACTGAACGAAAGCAAGTAGTCATTGCAAATAATGAAACTTCGTCTGAAAAACAAATAAGATGTGGTGTTCCACAAGGAAGTGTACTTGGACCCCTATTATTTCTGCTTTACATTAATGATATATAAAACTCTTCAAAAGAACTAGACTTCCGTCTATTTGATGATGACACCAGTATTTTGTTCGCTGATAAAGACCTTGATCTTATTGAAAGACTTGTAAACTCTCAACTTGCAAAAGTATCTGAGTGGTTATTAGCCAACAAGCTATCATTAAACGTTTCTAAATCTGACTTTCTTATTATTAGTCCTAAAAGAGTAGTAAAACCAATAAATCTCAGTATAAATAATGAAAAACTTAAACAAGAAAATTATACAAAATATCTTGGAATTATAATAGATGAAAAGTTAAATTGGAAACAACATATAAAGGAAGTGAACATTAAAATATCTAAAGGTATTGGGATTCTTTATAAACTAAGACATTTTGTCCCCAAAACACTTTAAGAATGCTATATAACTCTTTTATTCAATCTCATGCACTCTATGGTATACTGAATTGGGGATGTGCAAGAAAATCGATCTTAGAACCCCTGAAACGCAACTTACGAAAAGCTATTAGAGTAACTGACTTTGCTCCATTTACTGCTCACAGTGACCCCATTTTTAAACGCTTAAGGCTACTGAACTTTGACAAACTATACAAACTTGAGACAGCAAAATTTATGTTCCAAATTAATAAAGACAGCAGTTACACTACTCTTGGACATGAATGTCTAAAAACAAAAAAACTTCATCGTTACAATACAAGACAGTCTTCAGGCCTTGGTTTTTCCCTACAAGCAATATTAACCAACTCTAAAAGAAATTTTTTTACATTTGACGGTATTAAGCTCTGGAACTCTTTGCCACTAGATCTGAAGGAAGCTAACAACAAAATATCTTTCAAAAATAAAATAAAACACTACCTTTTAGAAAGTCCGACCTAATCAAATATGATGAAAATACCAGCACATACCATTAACCTAATTTTCTCATTTTTTATCTTTAATATAGTTTTTTTTCTTTATTCATTTCCCTTGCTTTTTTCTAGTGTCACTTACATTTCTATTATCTCATTCTTACTGCTATGCAAACCAAAATGAATTGTAAACTTGTCGTCAAATCACATGGCTTTGCTAGCTCTATCTTGAGTTTTTTTCCTGTGTCCGTCAGCTGATTTATTCTTATATAGGGTTGTTTTCTCTTTCTTTAATGTTCTTATTGTAATTTTGGATTTAATAATTGAATTTTAAACAACTTACCTAAATGACGTAATATGTAATTAATTGATTTGCTGAAAAAAATGTTTTGAGTTTGAGTTTGATTCATAACCTTTTTTATCGATGCCCTCGGTGCCCTTGTGATCCGCATGCTCAAACGAGGCAAATTGCAAATGGGTTGCTTGTTGACGCAATTTTCACTTTGTACCAAAAGGTGGTTTGCCGCGTGTATGCAATGAGGACCATTACAATTTGGAAAGAGAACAAACATTATTTTCACTACAGATGACATTTTTCTCTTGAAGGGAATCCGTCAATTAGATATCTTAGGCATGTAGTGTGGTGAAATCGCAATGATGCCGTTCGGAGAGGCACAACGCCATGCTTTAGGTTTAGGCCTTTTGGCTTGCCTTGCTTTGATTTCTCCACTGTGTTCTTCCGTAACACACTGGTTCGTTGATAACGATGGAAAGATCAAACAGCAGGTAAGAAAACTTTTGTGCAAGAGAACTAATATTTCCGTCAAGTATTCGTAGAAATTTTATGTTTGCAGTTAAAACTTCATTTCCAAAAGACTATTTCTTCCAAATTTTGTTTTTTGTTGCAGGATTTAAGTATTGATTGGAATCAGAATTTAAAAACCCATTCAATGTTATAATAAGGGTTTGTTTTGTCACAATTGGATTGAAAACTAATTATTGGCTCACAATAATTTTATTCAGCAGAATTGTTTGATTTAGATTCAGACTTGATTTTAACTAAACGTATAAATAAAACTAAAAAACAGGTGAAATTTAAATGTTATGTTTTTCAACATTCATCAAAGTTGGTGAAAGTTATTCAGATTATGAATAGTAAATTAGAATAATTCTAGTGTATATATTTGTAAGTGTATTATATTTTAATGTATACAAATTTGTATTATTTTTTTGTTATTATTGAAAAGATCATGTTTGTAAACTTTGTATATGATTATATGATGTATTGAAAGAGCTGTTAAATAACTTGAAAACAAAACTAAAAGGATGACAAAAAGTTTGTGTCACATGTGCAATTGTCCTAGTTCCGTACAACTCAGTTTAGTTAAGTTCAATTCAGTCGCAAAAATTTTTGAGCTTCAGGAAATCTTTTCATTCAGAATTATTGATTCACATTTGGACAAACACCTGAAATAATTTGGTAAAAAAAATCGAATATATATAAGTGTTTTGCAATTTGTTTTTTAGGTAGAATCAATTTATAATCTTAAAAGCCCTGGAGATTTAATAACATTCATGGAGCAGGAATCCAAGATGAAAAAGCTTTCAATTTTGCAAACCGAATTGTTATCAAAAAGAGATGTCTTGCAACCATCAGAACTGGAAAAAGTTGACATTGAAAGCCAGATGTTTAGATCTGATCCTGATTGTGTCATTAGTAAAAAAAGATTAACAGAATTCGACCTTTATCTAGGTTCTGTCATGCATTTTCATAATAAGCGAATTGAGTAAGTTGATGTTTTTTATGCTTTTAATTGCTAAAAAAATTGATATAACTGAGTATCTCTTTCTGTAGCAAGGATGTCCCAATAGATGAAAATTTTAAATTTGATGAACCAAGGATAGGATTTGTTTCTTAAGAATATGATATTCTGTAGGACATGAGTATCTCCCTCTGACTGAAAGCTGGAAGCAGGAGAATGATTAGTCTTATCAAGTTGGTTGCGCATTTTAGTCTTGCATGTTTTCATATGTTTCCCCTCTGTATCAGGGTATACTCCATATTGTTAGGTCAGAGTATGCCTGGTGTGGAACCACAAAACTTCAGCATGCTTCCATAAGCTACCTTTTCTTAGCATTTGGTGATTAAAATGCCTTGAAAGGTGTCTGAAATAGAGCTTTGAAGTGCACCCTGACCTTTGCAAGGATTTTTGCCATCTTCTTTAAAAACCTGCAACTTTCTGACATAACACTAGTGAATTATTCAACATACCATGGTTTGCAAATTTATTTTAGAATAAGATTAACCAAGTCATTATATTCTTCATCTTAGTGTGGCAGAGCATGTAAAGCCATATGAAAGCACAACAGCGGACTATAGAAAGCCACATTGCACAACAGATCTGCCCTTCAGTATGAGCTCATATGATCACCTAAAAGGCGTTGCTTTGAGAAACTCTATTGAAAATTCAACAGAGCATGGTCTAATTAATATTTTGTCAGTTGCATTGCCAGTGCAAACGGTAGAAGAATTTGGAGATGTAGTTAGCAATGCTTTGGAAAAAGTATGTTTTATGCCTATTTGTAGAAATGGGAAGTTTAGTTTGTCAATAAAAAAATGTTTAATATTTTGATTCTCTGATTTAATTAAAATGTTTATGCAGCGAAATTTACCATTCCAATATTTGAAAAGAAATCTATAGAATCCTCCGCCCTTGTTCTTATACAAAAAACAGAATTCCCACAAGTTAAATGGTTCTTTTTTTATTGTGTGTCAAAGTATGCATATTTTACAGTTGCGTTACGACATTTTATTTCCTGCTATGACGTCACAGTGATGAGTCGAGGCAAAACCATTTACTCAGGCCTATTAAATCACATACTAGGTCGAATGGTGCAAATTGTGATACTAGCATGAAACTTTGCAATGATAAGCAGTTTGATACTTTGAAAAAGATAGGATAGGGACCCAAACTGAAAAATTGCCCCCTTCAGCTATTTTTAGCTGGGGTACTTTGCCCCAAGACTCTAGCGGCGATATTACAATATCTCTGCTGTAAGTAAGTACAATAACATGAAATTTTGTAACAAGTGACAATCATATACGCTTAAAATAAAGATAAAGACCCCAACTTGAATTTGCCCCCTTTTCTATTTTTAGACTGGGGTACTTTGCCCTAGACCTTTATTGACGGAATTATCGTATCTCAGTCTCACTTTGGTAGAATAGCATGAAACTTTACAAAAAGGGGCAATTTGATACGCTTGAAATGATAGGATATGGAACCCTACTGGAAATTGCCCCCTTGTTCTATTTTTAGACAAGGGTACTTTGTCCTAGACCTTTATTGACGGTATTATCGTATCTCAGTCTCACTTTAGTAGAATAGCATGAAACTTTGCAATAAGGGGCAGTTTGATATGCTTAAAAAGATAGGATATGGACCCTGACTGAAAATTGCTCCCCTTGTTCTATTTTTAGAGTTCAAGATATGAATAGGAACTATATCACATCTTTGTCAGCGTATCAAACTGCCTTTATATTGAGAATTTTCCTTCTCTGTTCATGGCCAATGGTTCAGTCTAAAAATAGAACTTAGGGGCAAGATATGATTTGGCTTCATATCCAATCTTTTTCTGCATGTCAAACTGCCTTTATATCGAGAATTCCAAGTTTGTATGACCTTGCGTTCTCCGTTTGTGGCCAGGGGTCTGGACCAGAGTATCCCAGTCTAAAAATAGAATTTAGGGGCATCATATGAATTGGGTTTATTTTACATCTTTTTCGGCTCGTTTAACTGCCTTTATATTGTGAATTTCAACTTTCTATGAACTAGGATTCTCTGTGTATGGCCAATTGTACAATTAGGAGCTGGACCAGAGTACCCCAGTCTAAAAATAGAATTTAGGGGCAAGTTATGAATCGGGTCTATATCACATCTTTTTTGTCTAGTTAAACTGTCTTTTTATTGTGATTTTCAACTTCTATGGCCTGGCGTTCCTTGTTTATGACCAAAGGTACAATTAGGGGTCTGGACCGGAGTACCCCAGTCTAAAAATAGATCTTATGGGCAAGATATGATTTGTCTCTATATCACATATTTTTTAGCGTATCAAACTTGGTGTTTTCTGAAATTTTGGTGCTTCTATCACAATTTGCACAATTCTTCTTCATATCTCCCTCACTAGAACCTATTGTGTACAACCGCAGTTTCCTTATTGCTGTCGACCCAAATCATATTTTTGCAAATTATATGTATATTTGTTATTTGAAGTATGGCAAGTCATATTAAGTTTGAGTTTTTATTTGACAACATGAAGGTTTAAAATGCAACGTCTTACCATAAGCTATTATTTTTTTAAAAGTCTTTCAAAAGCAATTTATTATGTTCTAAGCAGGGACAAACAGTTGGTAAGATATTGGGGGCAAACCTATTGTTTTGATAAGATGATGTCACATTTCCCCATTGTTTTAGAGCAAAAGGCCATTGTCTTCCAAAATATTTGGGGGATGACTGCCCCCCTCAACCCCTCACTATAGCAGGGATTAGACTTCCTCTTAAACCCTTGTTACTTCAGTAGTCAACAAATTGGTTCGAGAGTGCACACAGAAAGCGAGCGACTCGTGTCGAGGTTAATCACTGACAGATAATTAAAAAAACTGTTATATTCAAATGAAAGCGAGGTTGGCGTAATAATTAAGTATGTTAATAAATAACATATACTCCTACTACATCACCCCACCCCCTTCCCCAAGGTGTCTGCCACTGGTTCTAAGTACTTTTGTTTTAGCTAACCATTGTTTTTTTTTCTTCAACAGAATAAAACATCATGGATTTTGCTAAATCTTGCAGGACTTTATTGGCGAGTTACTGGACCAACTGTCAATGCTGTTGAGTGCTTAAGAAGAGCATTGCATTACTCGCCAAGGTATCAGACAATTATTCTTGGGGGTGGTAATAGAGGTTTTTCTTCCTTTTTAAGTAAATAGTTTAAAAAATATTCTCATTGTCTGTTGGTCAAATTGAAAATTTCTTTAAAATACAAGTATTATTTTTTAGTTGTTATTTTCTAAGTTTTAACATACACTTTCTTCTATAGCTGTTCCTTGCAATGTAAATGCTTTTAGTGCCAGTTCTTTTGAAAATGCTGTAATCTATCCTTTGGCAGAATTATAAACTATGCTCAATGTAATATGATGATTGTTTAGGCAAATATGGAATATTGAAATCTAATTTTTTAAACAAAAAAATTCAAATATTCTGAAGGAAACTTATTTATAGAGCACTATAGTATGAAAACATGTACATGCTAAGTCAGAATGATGTGGAAAATGATTTCATAGTCTTTTAACAGTGGTTGGTAGTTGGCCTCACAAACATCATATTATGCACTTTGTTTTCAAATGCTTTGCGGTAGCCACGCAACAGCCTTAACAATACATTCATGTTTGCTTCATAATGTATTTGTTTGTAGGGAGCACAAAGATATAGCACTTGTGAGTATGGCCAATGTTTTGCATAGAGCAAAACAGTCACTGGATGCTGCAATCTTGATGCATGCTGCCTTGGAGACTAGCTCTGAGCTCGATGTGGCATATTTCGCTCTTGGGGATATATATGCTGTAAGTTTGTACTTTAATAGCTAATACCTATCACATGCCAGGCTTTGAACTTCAAACTAGGTTGGGGATTCAAAGCTGAAAAATTTTTAACTCAGTTTATTGTGTATTTATTCTTGGTGAAAACGTTGGGGCCATGGTCCTCTACTCTCTAGTTTGATGCTGCCCCTACCAACTTTAAATCCATATTAAAGTACATTTGCCTTTATCAGATGTAAGCATGTCTTGTACCAGATCCTCCATTGTTTAAAGACAAATTGGTTATGGGGGCTGGTTTCAAGTTTTAAGTACTATGATTCTCCAAGGTTTACGTAGCTTTTTGAGTACGTTTGATGAACTTTTTCAAGACAGGTCAAATAGTAACCAATTCAGTTTTTCACATATTTATTTTTTACAAGATTATATTTTGGACTTCTCTCCAGCAATTGTGTTGTTTGAAGCTCAGTTTGTTAATTTGTCTTTGATATCGTACAACCCTGGATCCACAACTGGATATATATTTTTCATTGTGTACTTTTGGACTGTTATTCTGACGTTTTATGCTCAGAGGAGTGTCAAACGAAAAAGCTTTTAGCCGATATTTTGTAAAATTTTTGCTTTTTCAAAATTCGTTTTCAAGTTCTGTACCGCCAAAAACTGTTCATAATCTTTTTTCTATCAAATAGAATGAAAACTACATCTAAAATACAATTCAGGTTGCATCTAGTCCCTTACAAATTTAAACAGACAATCAGACCCACCAATATAAGCAGGCAATCAGACTTACAAATGTTAACAGCCAATCAGACTTACAAATGTAAGCCACTAAGGCAATCAGAGCAGAAGTAAACCAACTGAGTAAACGTAAAGTAATGTTGTTCGTTTACTTTTGATCTGATGAAGCCCCGTATGCCAGGGCGAAATATTAGCCATAACTGATTTATGTGTGTTTGTTGTTGTTCATTCTCGTCACGTTTAAGTGTTACTTTGAATATGGGATTTCTTATAGCAAGCAAACTCTGTCTAATGTTGAATTCTATTGTTTTCTGCTCCTTGAAGTTTTAAGGAAGCCCTGTCTGTAGATACTCCCATATTGCAAACTTTAAGCAAGATTTTTGATTTCTTCAGTTCAGTTTCATCAAATTACCATTGAATTGAGTTAAGAACACTTTGCTTAACTTCTTAGTATTGTTTATCCATATGAAAAGGCATGTGTTTGGCGAAGAGCATTGAAAAACGTAGTTTTGCCGCAAGTTCACTTTAGCCATTAGCATAGAAGAGATAGCTGGCCCATTATGTACCTCGGCTGGTTTTTTTCTGCGTCTTTCTGCTCAAGAAATTATCACTGGTCGATTGTGTCGACTCACGACTGTATTAAGGGTGTGCTTTTCACCATTCAATGTAGTTTGTTATACTAAAGGGACTTCCAGATTTTCAAAATTTATTCATGTCGAATTTCGCTGTTCAAGTCCCACTTGCCTACGAAGTGGGTGCGCCTTGCATTATTTGCCGACAAGATTGAAAAATTGGCGACGAAGCATCAAACTCCTCGTTTTTGTAACGGAATTTATAACCTCTTTCACGTCCCACGGTAGCGACGACCCTGTTTTTAAGTTCAGTTATTTGCCTTGCAGAGACAGATACCAGATACTGTGAGTAAGGTCTGGGCTTCTTTATGTCAATCTTTGTCTTCAGTAGTCTGGTTCTAATAAGATTTCAAATATTGATTATCCTCCAGACAAAATTTTTTTACAAAGTATTTCCTCAAGATTTACTTGGATAAATGTTCAGTTTGTCAGGTCAGCCAGCTCTAATTGTCTGAAGGGCAAATCGTATTTAATTTTGAAAAGAAATAGAATTCCTATACTTTACACCGGTTTTGCGACGCCTTGCGACGACACCGGTTTGATGTAAAATCAGCGAAAAATCTATCGCAGGGTCCGTATTTTTTCTTAGAAAGGTTGTTTCTATGAAAGAATATTGTAATTTTTTTGTTAGATCGATTGTACCGTGAAAAGATCGTTATCATATCGGTCAGCCGTATGCTCTTTAAGCTCGGACTTTTTAGTACCTACGCTATCCCAAGTTTTTTCCTTGTTTCTAAAATAATTGCTCAAAAAAATTGTTGCACTAGCAGGCGGTAAGGCAATCTTTCGCAAGACGATGGAACACCGAATCTTTTTTTTGGTATCTTTTTTGATACTTTGTTTCCTAATTCGATCATACTTTTAAAAGATGAAGACTTCAGCAATACTGCTTTGGATTGCTACTGCATCGACATTTGTCTTGGACTTCTTTAGTTCACTTGCATGTTTAATTATATTTATCTAATATTATAAATCTAAACAGTTTATCCTTTTTCTGATATAGAGCCTAGGACAGTTTGATTTGGCGGAGTTATGTTATCAGTATGTGGAGGAGCTTCATCCTGGATTCGAGGCTGCCAAGCAGCGTAAACATGCTGCATTGTGTGAGATAAAACTGGACCGACAGCTGGAGAAACAACACGAGTAAGTCACTCAGTACATTCTGTGCACTTGAAAAGGCCGTTTTTTATTATTCTGTTTGGCAATCACTCATCTAAACGATGCTTCCTATAATATAACCAAACAACCTAAGCTTCTTCTATGCCAAAGATTTTTATTAGCTGCACCTGTGAATCTTGCATTTTTCAAAAATACAGTTACGCAAACACAGTTGCCTGATGATCGCACGAAGAGTGAAACACGGAGTTGCAACTCAAAACCGTCCTGTTCTTTACGCCAAAGCATTATTTAGAAATGCATGTAGACTCATTTTTTTATAAGAAACTGGCTATAAGAAACGAGTACTGGACAGTCAGAAAAAATTAAGAAACTTCAATACTCGAAGCAAAAAAATTTAGAAACTATTAAATCGTGATAAAACTGAGAACAACGAAATTTTGTAAAATTCAAGAACAAGATTGCTCTGTTGGCGTAGAACTTGAGGCACAAGGGATAAAAATACACTTCCCACATCTAAATACAGCATCGGAACGGAAGCAAATCTCTTGACTTGATAAAAAGGTCACGAACATTTCATAACATCATTCATGTTAAGAAGCTCTTAAGAAACAATGAGTATTGAAATTTCCAGAACATTAAGAAACTGGAGTAATCAACATCGAACTTTGTTTCTTATAAAGAAAATGAGTGTATACGCATAAGCGTCCGATTTTTATGCTCTCTATAAGTTTCTTCCCTCAATGCATTGGCACACTAAATATCAGTCTTCACCAACGTAACAAACCTTGCATAATGATATTTCATCTTCATTTTTCAACGGTTACTGTTTTTGGCTGATCGAAGAAGAGAAAGCTTGGTTATGGAGAAAATTAGCTTGTCATTTAAACTTAGGAAGAAAATTGCGGTCACACTGAAGCTCGTTATATTTTGAAACGTTTTCTGTCTTATATCAAAGATTTGGGTATTGGTTGCGCAACTAAGATTGTTACAGTTTAACAGCTTTTCAAAGGAAGGAAATTGTAATTTCATGATCGAGTAAAGTCTAAATGACGTTATGTAGAATTTTGTCTAGGAAGTCCTGAAATCAGTTGAAGGCCTCAACATGGCAGACAAATTTAGTTTACCCGCCATTTTCACCTTTAATTTAGATTTCGTCAAGCATTAACCTACAAGTCTGGCACAAGCGTTAACGTCACAAGCACAAACCCTTGGCCTATAAAATTACTGTAATTCGGTCTTGATTCTATTATGAACGAAGCCAGAATAACAGTTATCCTTAGACAAACCTGTGGTCTTTCAATCATCATATATCAGCCAATTTGTTACAGATTTAACTCAGTTCAAATAGTCTAAACACAGGAATGTATGACGCCATCTGTCTTTCGCTACTAATGCCGATTATGTCAATCTATTGTCTTGTATATGGGCTTCGTGAGTTTGGTTGAATTCCTGGTCAGACCATTACGCGGAACATTGGCAGGGTTTAAACAAGTGTATAGTTCCTTAAAAAAATGAATGTAAAGGGTTCGTTTGGATGCGCGACAGGTTTAGGTACAATGCATATGAAACCGGTGTAAACGTGTAAAGTGGCACTTTTCCGAAGCTTATTTTGAATTACCGTGTCACATATCTTTCATTTTGATCAGCTTTCATTTTCATACTGAGATATCTGTTTCAGTGTTCCAAACAATTTTAAAAACCTAGCTACGAGGATTTTTTTTGATAACTCCCTCTGCTTTAAAAAAAATGCCGCTTGGGCGGATTTCAAAGACCCGTTCATATCAGGAAAAGATAACTCGAAAACCTGTTTTGGTGGCAGCGAAAAGTGTGTGTCGTATCTGATAAACAATATCAAGATTGAAACAGAGTGTTTGGTTTCGATTAACTGCACTGCAAATATGATTGAATCATTTTACGCGCTTCTGCTTGCTACGCCTATGATAACATTGTCCAAAACATGATATTTTCGCAGGTTTTGTTGGCCTTTGATGAAGTGACCTTGTGTATTAAGATAAAACGTATACCAAATGAACACGTTGCTGCTAATATTCAACAGGCACATTTCTTATGCAAGCATTTATCGCCTGTTTTCGTGGTTTTTCATATTTTATTCACGAAGTTTTGGTTGCGCTAATCTTCTTTTCCTGCAGTTTCTTTATCTCTATAGAAAATAAGATTACTGTATGCTTGCCACCAGGAATTTCTTTGTATAATGAAACAAAGTAAAATTTTAGTCAAAATCCATTGCCGAAATTTATTTTAGATTTTTGCAAAAAACATTGGACGATCTCGAAGATTTTCGTCATAAGCATCAAATTTTAGAAGAGCAACAAAAGGAATTGTTTAGCCACAAGCAACAAAATTCAAGGACGAATGTTAACTTACAAGATGATGTGCAGCTGAAGATTTTAGAAGAAGAAAAAGACAGGAATTGACATACCTCTACCAACAAAACCACAAAAAACTTTGACAAAATCGTTTTTCAGATATTAAAGCCTCGGTACCCACGACTCTCTGGCGATAAGTACGCATGTGATCATGGTTTGGGTACAGTCAAACTAGCATAAATCGGATCTCCTCGGACCAGACAAAATAGTCTGTCTGGTGCCTGACGTAGGTGAAGTCACATTTTCTTCGATCCTCATGTGGGTATAAATTTTCTGCTTGCCTTTGGAAATTATGCGACGTTTATAATCTGTGGTATTTCGGACGAAAAATACTTATTTGGGAGTCCGAATTACAAGTATAAAAACAAAACAAAACTAAGCATCGCAGATTTGAAACCGGAATTGGAAGTTGCAACCCGGTAGCAAGCACCACAGAGTAAAAAACTGAATGCCGTCTACTGAAGTAAGAAAAGAATAAATGAAGCATCACTTCAACAATGTAATATTTGCAAGAATGCCTCTTTAGTATCTAAAAGTATGTTTCTCAAGAGGACCATTGAGATTAAAATAAATAACAATAACTTTGCGAAGATCCGACTTATGTGTTGCTATTTTCTTAGGAGACATAAAAAAAGATCTGACGTGCGCCAATGTCAGACTGAAAACGTCCGACGATGAAAATTGGTAGCATTTATTCCAATAAACTCGGAGCATGCATTTTTATCCAAGTCATAAGATCTCAATTTAATGCGATTCCGTCTCACGTGAGTTTGACCATAGTCTCATTTTCAGACTGAAATCAAACGTTAATCGACTGATATGCTCCGCCAAAGTTTGCATACAATTTTATTTCTAACAAAAGTTGTGTTTTACAAGCTAAGTTACACGAGACGATTTGAAAATTTTGTGTTCCATTGAATTTTTCGTTTATATCGCAATTTATTGTCATGGTATGGTCTTGGGATGATTTCTTAACATAAAGAGCAGTTTTATATACACAGGCCAGTAGAGAATATCGATAAATCGTTGAGCAATATTTTTATTGATATCTTTTGCCAACTAGTTTTAGAACAATTTTTGGGACTGTCCAATTTTATATATTTTTATCCAATTTGAAATCGCATTTCGTAATACCGGTTGGATTAGTTGAAACGTAATGTCCAGGATTATTCGTGGTATCGTGGTATTCTTTTTTGCAAACATCAAGGTGAATTATCCCACAGCTCCTTAAAATTAATTTTGAAAGATTCACTTATTTTGAATAGATTAATTTTGTGTTGAAAAGCCTTAACTATTTAGAGTACGAAGCTAGAACTATTAGTTTTAAATTATTTTCTACCAAAGGTCGTATTTTAAGTTTTCTATTTCGTATTTTGCGTAGCTATCCACTTATGTACATCAGTTGTCAAAACTCGAGTGTTTTGATAAAAATATCTATTTAGATCTTAAAATGTTAGAGTATTTTTCCTTCACTGCCGTAAATGGCTGTCTATTTTCTGCGAGACCAACTGTGCATGGGCAAGGGTCACTCTGCCAACGTCATTTTCTATCGCCTAAAATTGCTTGATCTACAAGAATACTATTGGGTCGTGGTATATTTGAATTGATAAATGTATTGAAATTTCGCTGCGGCTATAATTGATTCAAATATGCAGATTGACAGCTCTTGGTGTCCATAAAGAAGGGAAGTCTGGCTAGTGAGGTAGAGGTTATAGGGAACTGGGAGCTCAAACATTGAAAGGTTCCTATGTATATATTTATGTCTTTCGTTTTGTACATATCGTTTCTAGCCTGTGAGCTGTATGAGGCCTGGTGATGAGACGAATCAGGTCCGTATTGGCTGTTTCGATAGACATGCTTAATGACCATTAACGCTCTTTAACCTGATAACTGAAATATAGCCCATGGGCTAACGACATTTCGACAAAAAGGTTTTAAACAGGATTCATGCATAAATTTTATGATATCCTAGTTGATCCTGTAACATGAAGACAATAATCAGCGAATCCTTTTTTAAAAATCTCCTTTATATTTGGCCTGTTTATTTCAAATCTGATTAAACTCAGATTGAAATCATATAAGCTGTTTAGGTCTCATTTGCCAACAATACCTTTGCTATAGAGAAAGTAAATCCTGCTCAACATCCAACGTTTTCACGCCCACGAGTTTCATACTCTTACAAAATATCATAACAAAACTAGACAAGGTTTTATTGCTCATCCAGAAACAGCCATATATCACTGTCAATATCCATAAATGATAGCATTACATACAGCAATGAAGAAGCCAAATGTTTTTTGCGTTTCTCGAAAGTTAGAATTCTCAAAAGATCGCCTAACTAGGAATAAGCGTCTTTTGAATTATCAGAATTGGACTGTGTGTGCCCATGGTTTTGGAATATGATTATGATAAACAAATTATGGAAAACCATTGCACCCAAGCGACGTTATTATCAGGTGTTTTATACGGACGAGTTCCTTCACCTGCTTTATCGAATTTCGTTTATAAAAATTTAAATGAAATTTAAGGACGCACACTTCCCTTAGGGCCTCTTACTGCCATATTCTAGCGCCTGGCTAGGGGCATAACTTTCTGAAACCACAGTGTGTAGGACAATGCCTTGCTTTATTTGAGGGATTAAGGTACTAGGTAACTTATACATGTCTCGAGCTTTACCCCCAGGACCCGAAGTTGCCATCGATGTCCCTACCCCTACCTCAGCGGTCATATTATTACAAGTGATCTAGCGAGCCCCAGTCCAGTGTATACTCTTTTTTTATAAAAACCAGATAATTTTTTTACCGAGACTTAATGTTCATAGAGTTTGGGAAATCTTGGCATTGTTTTGATTTCAACATTGATTTTTCTGCAACTACATACTATCAATTCTTTCTAAGACCACTAAATAATCGTTTTGCAAAAACTTTTAGTACCTCAGTTGATTTGCTGATACAGTCTGTTTCGTTAACATGCGCTTATAAAAAAGGACGGTTTTGAAGAGATTGCACCACAGGGCCTTTTTGAACATGCTAACACAGGGCCTTTTTGAACATGCTAACTAAGGAGGAAACTATTGTCTTTAACAATAGGAATTGTCCTCCTCATTATATAAACAAAGGTTTGCCCCCACTGATAATTTCCCTTCGATATGGTTTCGTTGCATCAGGGTAATTGACTGAAGGCATTTAAAGACACGACAAAGGGTCGTTTTCAAGCGTTTAGCTCCAGTCAAACGAACTGAACATTTCACTGAGCAACACTCAACATTTGCAAACTTGCTCAGCGTGCTGCTCAGTACAGGGTGTTCAAACGAACTGAACATTGCACCGAACAATTGGATGAACAAAGAACGATTAATGCGAGTGCCTATGCATTGAGAAATGAAACTTTCACACAAAACTATTGCAAATCAAAAGACCTTCTTAATGTTGTTAAAATGGCGAGCTTTCATGCTGCAATTGAACTGTTTTAATGAGCACAATGTCAACAAAAGCACTCAATGTTTTCTTGGTGCGAATCTCGAATTCAACGCGCGAGTTAGGCATGCCCGAGTTTAACGAAGTTCAGTTGGGTGGACAAACGAATTGAGCATCGCTCAACAACACACCGAAAAAAAAAGGTTTAATGACTCTCTAAACATTTTTGATCGCCGTCAAACATCTCTGAGCAGGACTGAGCAAGGCTGAGCAAGACTGAGTAGGGCTGAAACTGAGCAAGTGGTCAAACGAACTGAACTGTTTACTGAGCAGGCATGTTGATCGTTGCGCAGTGAATTGTTCGTTTGACCGGGGCCTTTCAGTAGAAACATTTGTATATGTAGAATTACCGTGGTCAGAAGACACAACTATGTAGACTATCGCAGAAGTCAGCAGACAAGCACGTTTTCTCATTAAGCCGAGCCTTAGACGAATTAATTGCATCACATGAATTAGGTGTTTAGAACTCGTCCCAAGTATTAGGATTACAAAAAGACCTGGACATGATGAAACACTCTTTCACGTAACATCTAACCATAAAATAATTTTTGGTATTCTGTTTTCTCGATATATCTCAAGAGACGTCAAGGGTTTAAAGGGGCATTGGATAACTGTCTAGAAAAATGACAACAAAAAGCATACTCGGATTTACTTTTCAAGAAATTTGTGGTTCTAAGCCTCTTCTACCACCACGAATTTGTATGCCACACCTTAACGTTCAACAGGATAACGTAATAAAGACGCTGCCTTTTCGACTGAAACAATTTCTGTCGCTCTTCCAGTGTCCATTGTACAACGACAGCCCAATTCTAGCAACCCAGAATTTCTTGTTTTTCTTAAGCTCATGTTTGAGATTATACCAAACCTTCAGATTCGAGCGAAAGTAACTTAACGCCATCCCGTGCATTCTGTCTTTCGGTTTTATTTTCTCAAAATCAATCCCAAATCTTAAAAAACAAATATCATTAATGGATTCGGCATCTCAAAAAACCCTTAAATTCGTAACTAAATATTAACCCGGACTTTTTCTCTTAAGTATTGTACTGAAAGAAAGAAAATGAAATATCGAAATCCGGGTTTCACTGTGCTTTTTAAAGAAGTTTTATACATACTGGATGAAAATTTTAGCAAAAAGAACTAGAACTTGAGGATCAGACCAACTTTTGTAACATGACTTAAATGGTGTCCTCATACTGGTACTGCAGCCTGGAGAATCCATAATTTCCCAGCCATAATTTCCTGTTTCAGGTTTCACAAACCACAGACGATCTCCCTCCGCACTCAAAGAATCAAGCCTTTTGTCACTCTGTTAGCATATAAACCATATTTAATACCTTGTTTCCATTTACATTTACAGCGCTGAGCAAACTTTCGAGTCATTTGTACATCAAAATAATCCATAACGTTAATCTACAGAGCATTGGCGAGAAATTTTCCCATGACTTGTGTTTCCTCCTCCGCATTGACAGATTAATTTCTTAATTCAAACTAAGGTAGGACCAAACCCGGAAAGGTAAAAACTATTTAACCCTCTGCGTGTATAATTAGCTTGATTTCCAGGTGATAAATATTATCCTCTTGCTTTGAAAGGCGCAAATACAAACTAAAAAACTCTGTAACTATCACCTAACAGTTGGTCAAATAACACCTTGTTGTCTAGCTAAACCTGATTAATAAACCAACGTGTTTTGATCATCTTGCTTAGCAATTTTTGAATATTTAAAGCAGATGTTATCCATGAACGCAAAGCTACTGGGAATATGCGGACAAGGAACGGGAACTAAGCCTTTATTTTGTGTTTTCTCAGAACTGGAAATTCTAAATGCATTGTAATATACAGTTCTCGCCAATTTTTCAGAAATTAATCATCTTAATGACATGATTCTAACAGGTAATTTAGTTTTAAGCATTTTAAGCGAGTCCTAAATAAAACATGTACACAATACGAATAGAATTTCAAGTGTCTATGTAATGACAAGATGAACTTGTTATTGAAAGCCTAAACATTTATTCGAAAAATTTGCAGCGAGTCTACGTCTCGGCTGCCTGCAACCAGACACGTGAATTATTCCTAAATCTTCATATTTACATCAGTATAATTTTATAAACTAAACCTCGGCATACAAACGAATGAGAGTCGGAAAGTCTTCTTTTCTTTAATATACGTATGCACCGTAACAAGTTCGTCAGCCCAGCTTACTCTGCGTACGTTTGAGTGCGTCTCATCGCTTGGATTGCCACTTTCGTTTCTGATATTTTCATCCGTTCTGTCGTCATCATCAGAGCTGCAGTTTGTTTCGTCGCTATTCGTGGAAATTCTAGCGTCTTTTTCTTTGATTAATCGTTGTCTTTCCCTGTTACCGTGAAGATCAAAGTCCTTTCCTGCAATTTCATGTTTTCTGTAATTTTCTAAAAACAATTTCCCTCTCACACCAAAGTGGGACGATAGCAAACATTTTGCGTTGTTTGTCTGATGGCACTCCATCGCCATCAAAAAATCAAATCTCTATCTGTAAAAGGTAACGAAACACTTCCAGTTCCTTCTTGAACTCCAAAAACTTGATGTTTGTTTAGAATTATGTCTCGCTTATTGCTGTCGGTTTGAACTCCAGCGGCTGGTTAGTCAACGATAAAATTGTATGTTTGGTCTCAGCTTAAATTTCTTCCTCTTGATAAAGCTGTGTCCACTCAGCAATGCACCATGAACAGAAATAAACCTCGCAATCAAACAAGCAGCTTTTATGATGTGCTGTCTAGAGAGCCTGAGCTTGGTATTTGCTCTGGCTTTCAACTAACTCCACGAATAAAGCCGAGATAAACACAAAACCACGTCTCTTATCTTGGATTAACACGACTACACAGCTTTAAAAATAGCCTGAAATCTTGATTTTATAAACGAGATAGAAGTTCTTTTGAGGCAACAGCTGACCGCCAACAATGCAAAATGCTGCTAAAAATAAAGCTGCAATATCGAATTGTGATTTGCACAAAATGACATTTCTCGAA